ATATATATATAATATTTACTTAAATTCTTTTTTAATTTCTTCTATGGATATATAACAAAACACTAAGTTGACTATTTGAGATACAAGCATTTAATTCAATACTATAAAATGGGACCATGCTAAGTTTCTATATTTAAAACAATAGTCGAATCAACAACAATATTATTGTCACGTCTCGTAAAAGTTTTTAAAATTTTTTTAACTAATTTAATACATTTTTTTATTTGAGTCCATTAAGTAACGTAGCATAATATGATTCGTTTATTTGAAACAATAAATGAAAAGTATAAGTGAAAACTTTAAATGAATATACTTTGAAAGTTGTCACTGTCTTATTAGCTATTTTGAAATTTCACATTGATTGGGAAGAAATAGGGTACAAAAATTTGTCCTCATGGAAATGGCCATTGACCAAGCCCTTCAAATCATGCACACCAACTTTGCAATTGTTACATATTCATGCTTGCTTGAAGCATGAGCGAATATTTTCAACTCTTTTATAAAGTAAAAAGGAAGACTGGGAAATGGAATATACTAGTTTGCCCCTGCACATGCTTTAGATAATAGGTACTCTCTTTACTTTTTATGAAAGAAGTAAACGGCTGGGGAGGCATGTGGATTCCAAGAAGAGTAAAAAGCTAGGCTCCACTAACATAGAAAAAAAAATAAAAAATAAAAAATATCTGCTTTTACTTTTCTCTAATATTCGTCTACTCTAGAGTACACAATATTAGATGGGGCTCTGAGCTTTTGCATGTCTTGAAACCATAAACCCATTTCTGTTCATTCAGACCAATCACAAACCACTTTTTTGACCCAAACTCAAATCTGGCAATGTCAAAACGAACTCTCACACATATTATATGATATATATATATATATATATATATTCCAAAGTACTCACCAAATTACAAATCCTGAGAGTGCTACAAGCTATATATCTTAAGCTCCACTTTTCCTAAACCCTAGAAAAAGAAACATGGTAGTCCATTCAATATACAAGCTTTAAGAATTATTCTCTGGGCATTGGAATATTATATTTACATGGATTTTTTTTTTTGGTACGTCATGAAATTTTCAGAATATGCCTACACATTAAAGGTGGACGAGAAGAGTGACGTGTACAGCTTCGGAGTGGTGTTACTAGAGCTTATAACGGGACGAAAACCAGTTGGTGATTTTGGTGAAGAAGGGATGGACATTGTTCAGTGGACAAAGATAAATACTGAGTCTAGCAAAGAAGGGGTTGTGAAGATCTTGGATGAGAGGCTTATGAGCAACAATATTAATAATAATAATAATAATGATGATGTCCCAATAGAGCAAGCAATGCAAGTGTTCTTTGTGGCAATGTTATGTGTTCAGGAGCAAAGCGTCGAACGACCCACCATGAGAGATGTTGTTCAAATGCTTGCCCAAGCTAAACAACCTTCTACTTTTCACTTGCAATAAAACTACGTACGTACGTCTTCATCATATATATATATATATATATATCCTTATAATGATTATGATTCCTAGCTAACAAAGAGGCGCAGTTCAAGGAGGCACTAGTTGCGCTATTGTAGTATTGATTTTGTCAGCGGTTCTAAGTGTATCACAAATGACACAATTATATATGTTAAATAACTTTTTAATTTTTTCTTTTTTACTTTGGATTATTTCGTTATGTAATAGTGTGGGGCATAAGAAGTATGGAATTACACTAAATTTGTAGAAATTATGCAAGTTTTGTATTAGAGGGTCTTCTCGTTGAGTGATCAATACTCTGCAATTTGTTTGTTGTAACACGAAAAGACTTGGAGGCAATTTTAAAGGACATGTTTAACATATATATTTTGCTTTCTTTGTATTAAGAAAAGTGTATGTTGTCCCACATAAAAAGTGAGTGGAGATGTAAAATAGTTTATTTATATACATAGAAGGATTAAAACCCAATATGTTAATTTTTTAGGTCAAATTAGACTCCTAAAGTGTGTTAGGTCAGTTTCACATGTATGTGAAGTCTTTCTAACAAGTGATATCAAAATCGATGGTTCATATAGGCAAACGATCACACTCGGTTACAGTTTTCACGTTACCTCATGTGGAGAATTAGTGTTCCCGCAGTTGATGTCGTTACAAGTGCGAATGGTAGAGTATTGATAAACTCATATGGTTTTGGTTCTCTTTATGTTTAAGTTGGCTCCCAGGTAGAAATGTGAAATGGTTTATATATATGAAAGGATTAAAACTAATAAGTTAATCTTTTAGATCAAATTAAACTCTTAAAATATATGTTAGGTTAATTTCACATGCAAGCTTCCTCAACACTTTGTGATCTTTTTTTCGTCGTTGACGTAATAGTTGTGGCTAATATTAGTCAAAATATGGTTGTCTATATACTGCCACGTGGGATACAATGTTGCCGGTAAGATTGGTTATATAACCTCTATGTCATCATCTCATCATGCAGCGATCAATGACCACATGATAAGATTGGTTAACTAGTTATTATGCTGGTGATTTTGGATAGGGGTTATTGGGGCCGCAAAAAGTTTTGCTTTATTTTGTTTTGTCTATATATATATATATATATATATATATATTGTTGTGTTATGTTATTCTTTCTTTTTACTAATTGGAACTCATTTGTCGGCGTATATAGGAATCTCCTTTAAGCACCAAAACGCCCTACCAGTACTTGCATTCTAAATATCACTCAAGGTCATAGAAAATATATTTATATCACTTCACTAAAATAGACTTGTCCTTCAATTAATAAAGAAAAAATAAAAAAAATTTAAAAATATCTTTAATAAAGTAATATTATTTATTTCTATTTTTATTATTAAATTTATCTTATGTCACTAATAATCTGTAAATTATTTTTACATAATATGCACGTTATCTTTTGTAACTTCCAGGTTATTTTTTATATTCTCTAAGTTACTTTCCGTAATGACATTAAAATTTTGTACAGTGACATAAATAATAGAATTGAAAAAAATAATAATAATTAAATTTGAAATTTTCTCAAAATAAAAGGCCACAAATTACAGTCAATTATTTAGGTCTCGTTGACTTTGCGGATTCGAGTTTTTAATTCTAGATTTTTACAATAAAAAACTGTAGCAGAAAAAATAAAATGTGATATTTTCTGAAAATTTTTTATTATAAAAATTTAAAACTGAAAACTCGAATCAGTATAATGAACGAGGCCTTAAAAAGTGTGCAATGATACCATCTCTTTACTAGCTTCAGCCACGGCAACAAACTTGGTCAGTAATGGAAAGAGCAACTAGTGTCAACAGTTTAGAAAGGCAACTAGTTCTTGTACCATCCATCGCGTGCGCATATCTAGTAGTACCTTTTTCTGCCATCATTGTCATCAGTCATGTTAGTAGTGCCTACATAGCATTGCTATGTAAACCCAATGACTTTCTGAAACACATGGACGAATATGCAACAACTCTTTAACTACCTGAGAATCAGCTTCGTGGCCTTTCATGTTGTTTATCTGGATTCCTCATATATATGCTCATAACTCCTACTGCATGCGCGATTTATGGTCAAGTACACACCATGAAACTGCCAAGAATATTTCGAAGGACAATCCATGTAGACGTTTAATTCATGAATTAAAATAATGTGATTAGAATTATTTTTAATTTACGTGTATTTTTTATGAGAGAAAATACCGTAACGAACTATGAATCATGATTCAAATCATAGTTTGAATCCTCTAACTAAACGTCCCTGGTGATGCATAAATATGATGCCAGCTATTATAACTGCATGTGGAAAAAAAAAATAGAATAAATTAATGCAAGATTTTGATGTCCAAAACAATACATTAAAAATAAAAATAAATAAATAAATAAAAGTTGCTGGTCAAGATGCCCTTACAAGAGCACTCAGAAAACTAGCATGGTAGTAAGTAAATTGGGGAAATATGTTTTTATACGTAGGTATCCAAGAAATTCCCTTATGTTAAAAAAAAAAAAAAAATGATCACATTTAAGCAATATACTTCCGGAGAAATATGTTTATATAGCAGATACACTCAAAAATAAATATGAACAAAAACAATAATAATAATAATAATACTAACCTGAACATCAAAGCCTTGGGGGTTACTCTCAGCTACAATCTCTAGCTTCGAGCTGAAATATTTATGAGACCATCGAGTAAGAATAGGAACAATTTCCTTCATTTCTAAAGAGACATTCTCTCAATATATATTTTTTAGAAAATCCTAAAAAATAACGAAGGGTACCTAGTAGGATCATTTTGCATTCTCTATAGGTTCAGTTGAAATTTCTAATTTTTTTATGCAAATATCCTTTTAAAAAAAAAAAATTTACCAACATCAACATCTACTCTGGTTTAAGAATTAGGCGCCCTAATTCTACATAACCGAGAGCAATAAAAAAGTGAAAAGATAAATCAAGCAAAGTCGACACGTAAAATTTATAGAGTTTCGCCTCAATGTGAGACTACATCCTCTTTCAGCAGCTGCAGTTTTTCCACTATGATCAAGAAGAAGTTACAAGAGAATCCTCTGCTTAGGACAATAAATCGTCAGAGCAATTAATTAGGCTCCACAAATTAACACTCTACATATCAATATTTCCTTAAATCCGTCCATAATTCCGTAGACATCGACATTTTCATCTTTTGTGAAAAAACTGCGTGTTTAATTCCGCCTCTGCTTCCTCTTCTTCTCGTATCTTCTCCTGAAAGCACAGAGGATTGTTGCGAACGAATTAGAATTTAGACTGAAAAGTTAAAGCAATATACCTAAAATAATATCTCGTTTAGAACAAGGAAAACTACCCAAATCACATTTAAAAAAAAAAAAAAAAAAAAAAAAAAAAAAGGGCTTCTTGAATAATGTTAAGATCTCATCGTAGTTCATCACTCCAACAAATATATATAGGCAAAAGTTGCAGCCACTAGCACTTCAATTTCTCCAATAGAATTTGATCAATCACATTGCCATAGTTTTTTATTGTAAAACCATGAAAAAAAAAAAAAAGAAAAAAAAAAAGAGGACAGAATACTTCAGGTTCAAGAATTAGGCAAATACTTTCAAGGTAGAAAGTATACATTAAGGGGAAAATTGATGACCATAGCTAAGAAAATATGTTTATAGAAAAGGAAACTAAGAAACCAATTTATGTCTGGAAGATAGGCAACAATAAAACATTACCTAGTTACAAATCTAGAAAGGACGTGCTAGCATTTGTTGCAAGCAAAAAAAAAAAAAAAAAAAAAAAAAAAAAAAACTAAAAGAAGTGGTAGGATTTTATTTCTTTAGAAATTTCTAAAAGTGCTAGCATTTGTTTCAATATGCTTAACAACAAATGTCTTTTATTTTATTTTAAAAAAAAAAAAAAAAATCTTGGAGATCTAGCAAGGAAAAGTAAAAGAATTAAACAAGCCTTACTACCTGGAAATCTAGCAGCTAGTAATCCGCTCGGAGAAATCGCTTTGCCAACCTACGTCAGATATGCTGATAGTATTCCAATCAATTTTCAGACTCCAGGAAAGGAAACTCCGTCTACATCAAACAACCTTTTAATGACAAACGTGAACATATCTGAATCACTCATTTTAATACAACAAGGTTTTCCAAAATTGACTAACCTCATTAGTCGTATCTTTAGAGCTCAATTTACAAAGCTTTGAATATGTGGAATCCCAAGTATTCTCTAGTTCCCAGGAATACTATCTGTTTGATTAACAAGAATATCAGAGGCTCATCTAATCCCAGATTCTCAGTAGAACACTATCCATTTTCCAAAGCTTCAAGATCAAAGAAATGCAGTAGAGAAAGCTGTTGGCATCCTCTATAAGTTCCACAAAGTGCACCAACAAGCTACTAACCCTGGGCGTACTCAGAAAGATACATGTATAAAAAGTTATTAAAGTATTGTTTCAGAGTTAAGAAATGTTTTGGAAATAGAAATGCCCAAAGAGCAATGTATAGGCACATTGAATTCATTTATAGAAACTAATTTGAATCATAATTCATAAGGACAACATGTTAGTTACATTGATAATTTTGTCTAATAGGTGGAGAAAAAGGAAATGAGAGCTTGAAGTCTTGAACAACAATCATTTCTTTCCCAATCATAGTAACTTAAGTCCAGAAACCATTTTCTGCCAATGCTTATCGTAATAATGTTTTTTTTTCCCCGAATAAAACTGGACATAAGCAAGTTCAGCCTTGCAGGGAAAGCAAAATATATATGTTTGTAGATGTGAGAGTTCTAACCTCAAACCTGTAGTCTCTACAGGAATATATGAAATTGCAGAAACGTCGAATAATTAAAATAGCAATAAAAGAGAAAAGTTTACATTATCAAAACAATAATGAGAAAGAAGTGGTCTTTCCTACAAATGACCATTCTTTCTATTCGACCTATGATGACTAACAAAAAATACAAAAAGGGTTATGATCGCTTCACATAATTTCATAGCACCTTATTAAGGAATGAGATGTTTTATGGTCAGTAAACTTAATTGTTGCATAGGACCAGCTATACTACTGAGTAATAATTCAGATTCTACAAAGCAAGAAAAACTTAATTAGAAACGCTCTTTACAAGAAACAACAAATATATGAACCAACCTGTAGATGTGAAGTACTGATGTAATCTTGAGCTAGTCCGGACCAGTTTCAGAATTGTATATTTGACCCCAGGAGATAAGCCATTGCATCTATCCTCAGTCAGTGCAATACTTGCCATTAACAAACTGAAGGAATGGGAGGTTGCCTATACTCGTAGGCAGTGATGCCAAACTGGGGCATCCCTCAATCCTGAGAGACTCGAGTGATATGAGGTTGCTCAACCCTTCAGGAAGTGACTCCAAACTGGGGCATCCCCGGATACTAACAGACTGGAGTGATAAAAGATTGCATATCTCAAGAGACATTCATGAATTTCGAATGAATAGAAAAAGTGATGAGAGATCCCCTATCTCCTTGGGAAGCACTGTCAAATTCAAACAAAGTTCGATATTTAGAGACTGAAGTGATGACAAGTTGCCTATCACCGTTAGCGGAAATTCCATATCCCCAACATCCGAAATTATCAAATGCTTCAATTTGGAAAGAGGGACGCAGGATCCGGAATAGTGCATTTCTGAAAAAGAGGATGTTGATGTTCCTGGCATGCTATCATTCCTCGCCATAATTGTCCACTGTAATGGCCTGGAGTTAGTTTTATATAATTGCAGACCTTCAAAATTGGGAAACAATGGCATGGAAGTAAGCTCAGGACAATTGGTTATGCATAGATGAAGAAAGAGCAGGAAATGAAGGTTGGTGTCGATTTTCTATTATCGACCTCACAATCTTACCCTTGTCATCTGTATACCCTCTTGTACTCGGCCACCATCCTTGAAGATGATCACAGTTACTAATAACTTCTCCTAGCAATTGGAAGAACGACATTACCGAAGGCTCAGATGAAGTAAAAAAAGATCCTCCAGTCCATCCGATAAGTGGTGCAGTGGCGGGAGATCATGACAATTTCTACAATAAAGTAATTTGAGTTCAACAAGATTATAGTTGTGTGAATCGTATTTTCTTCGAACAAGGATGTTGGAATTTCGCCTGATGTGTTGCATTCAAACTTCAGGGATACCTGACGAGCTTTTCCAAGAATGTTTTCTCCATTTCTTTCTGAAATAGAACTGTCCGTCCTTCCAAAAATATATGCAGTACCAAGTACGCCCGCTTTTGCTTCGTTGAAGGTCAATCCACATAGTTGTTTCTGCATCAAGACAATAATTAGGCTCCACAACTTAACATTCTAGTGATGCTAGCTATTACTAGTTGCATGTGCAAAAAATTATATTAAGTAAATAATTTTACAAGGTTTTGATGCCTAAAACAATGTATTAAAAATGAAAAAACAAAAAATAAAAATAAAAGTTGCATGACAAGATGCCACAACTAGAGCAGTCAGAAAACTAGCAGGCTAGTAATTAACATGGAGAAATATGTTTTTATACGTAGGTATCCAAGAAATTCCCTAATGTCAAGAAAAATTATCACATTTAAGTTAAATTTCCAGGGAAATATGTTTTTATAGAAGAAAGACTCATATAAACAACTAGAAATAAGATGATGATGATGATGATAATGACCTGAACATCAATGCCAAGATCTACTTCCTGGGCATTTTCTTGGAACTTGGTGGTGTTATTCTCAGCTTCAATCTCTAGCGCCAAGCTGAGATCTTTAGGAGACCACTGAGAAAGAATAGGAAAATTTTTCTTTTATTTCTAAACAGACATTCCATACATATCTCAATTCAATAAATTTTTAAGTTCCTAAAAAAATCACGAGCACCTTAAGCTTTAAATATATCCTTTCCTAGTAGGACCATGATCTTTTAATGTCCTGCATGAAAAGAAATGCTCTTTTGTTAATGCCAAATGCTCTTTCATTTTTGTGTTGGACAAGTACAAAGAAAAGAGAAATAACACAAACACAAAAGTACCTTGCGTACACAATCACGCATGTATGTTGCTTCATTTTCATAAGGACAAGACATTGCTTCTGTTGCCCTGTTTTCTCCAACTGGCTCAACATCAAATATCCATTTACTTTTCCGATCATTGATTTTGAACAAATCTTTTTAGATTCCTTATATGCATTAAAGCTGAAAATGATAGATATACAAGTAGTTTAGAATCTACACTAGGTAACTGATGAAGTTTGTTATTATCCATGCAACATCAATAACGACTCTTTTGAATACAAAAAGGATTTACTAACTTCATTACTTTTTCTTAGCTATGCTTCATAAGCAGCATCTAAGAAAACTCATGTCTAATTGTGCTTCTGCTTCCTCCTCTTCACCTCTCGTTTCTTAGAAGTTCTTACGGATTGGAATAGAAAAATTAAAACAAGATGTAAAAATAAATAAATAAATAAATAAAATCGCTTGTTTAACAAAGAACAAGTAACAGATTCATTAATTATGCAACATTTTCTACATTTCTAAACAAGTAATGGATAGCATAGCAATTTACCTCCTCAGCAACTCGGGGCAAAAGGTGAATCCATTTTCCTTAAATCTCTCCAACAAACTCTTATCCACCACATGGAAAGTATCACATGTTTCATTATTTCTTTCACATTATGCTCACAAAAGTATAGTGTCAGGACAATCATATAATATCACAAAACATCCTCCACTTTACTTCCTTCGTGTTTGAGTACGTCGACTGTCAATAACATGCATGGATTAAACCACAAAACGATTCAAGATTCAACTGAAGATAGAGAGAAATAGATTCCTTTGCCAGTGAACATAGAGCAACTGAATGACCGGCTGCCACAAGTAGAAACATAAATTACCAGATTAGTTTTGCAAGCATCATCGAGAGTACTTGGAAAAATGTTTTTTTTTTTTTTTTTCTAATCATCTATGCACCATGAAAATAAATTAAATTAACAATGTGAGATCCATACATTATAATAATTTATATGATAAAGAGAAGGTATTACATGTGAACGAACCTGTTGGAGTTCTAGCTCTGGAACTCCACAAATTATATCTCCACTTTGGGATTTAGGCAATCGAGAGATCGTCTTCAGAAGACTCACTTTCACTTTATCTCCTTCGTTCATATAAGCGGTGGGGAAAAATCCTACAACGCTTTTGTGCATCTAGGAGGTAGTCAACTAATCCATCTAAAGGCATATCATCATAACGTTGACCATTTACCAACTTGATAGATGGGAGGTTGCATATCCCGTGCGGAATTGATGTCAAACTGGTACATCGTTCTATTTTAAGATATCTAAGTGATGAGAGATTGCCTATCCCTTCTGGAAGTGAGGTTAAACTAGTACATTCTTGAATTGTAAGAGCTCGAAGTAATGAGAGGCTACTTATCCCTTCTGGAAGTGACGTCAAACTAGTACATCTCACAATTGTAAGATCTTCAAGTGATGGGAGGCAGCCAATCCTTTCTTGGATTGAGGTCAAACTCGTACAACCTTTAAGTATAAGATACTTAAGTGATGAGAGGCCACTTGTCCCTTCTGAAAGTGAGGTCAAACTGGTACATCCTTCAATTTTAAGTTCCCTAAGTGATGAGAGGTTGTTTATCCCTTCTGGAAGCAAGATCAAATTCACACATCTTTCGATTTTAAGATTTGTAAGTGATGAAAGGCTGCCTATCTCTTGTGGAAGTGAGGTCAAACTACTGCATTCATCGATTGAAAGAACTCTAAGTAATGAGAGGCTGCCTATCCCTTCCAAAAGAGACGTCAGACTAGTACATTTTGCAATCGTAAGATCTCCAAGTGATGTGAGGCTATCTATCCCTTCTAACCGTGAGGTCAAATTAGTACAATCCTTGATTTTAAGTGATTGTAGAGATTTAAGGTTGCCTATCCCCTCTGGAAGTGATGTCAAACTAGGACAGTTGATAATTTTGAGATGCTCAAGTGATGTGAGGTTGCATATCCCTTCCGATAGTGATGCCAAACTACGACAGAAAATAATTCCAAGCGACTGAAGAGATACTAGTTTCCCTATCCCCTCGGTAATTGATGCCAACTTAGAACAATTATTGAATTCCAGATACTGAAGACATAATAGATTGTCCATTGCCTCTGGAAAACTTTCTAAATCATGAACACAAGCGACACTCAAATGCTTTAATTTGGAGAGAGGAGGGGAGGTAGAACACTCTGATGTTGCTGCCACATTCTCCAACATAATAGTATTTTGTAATATCATTGAGCTTGTACGATACAGTTCTAGGTTCTCAACACTTGGAAATGGTGGCATAAATTTCAGATTGGGGCAACCAGATATTTCAAGACGGGAAAGATTAACGAATGAAGGTTTTTGATGTTGATGTTCTGCTATTGCTCCTACCACTTCATTTGATTCCCATATTTGGTTAGGCCACCATCCTCTCAGGTTGTAGCACCCTTTAATGTGCAGTGTTCTTAAGGATGGGAAGAACGATATTGTTGAAGACTTGGATGAGGTGGATAAGTGATTATAACTCTTCATGTTCCACTCCACATTTGACACGTACTTTAGAGCCCGCAAATTGACCAGTCTAAGTTGTTGAAGTGAGGATAAACGGTGCAATGGAGGTAGATATTGGCATCTTCCACAAAAAGATATGTCCAATCGGACAAGATTAGTGAGAAAAGACAGCCAATTGGAAAATCTCTCTCCTGGGTACTCGTACACTTCCAAAACTTTTAGATTTTTAGGTGGTTGTGAGCCATCTAATACCATTTCAGCATTATTGATAGCATCTACATTATCAGGAGATCTCGACCATCTCAACCTTAAGGATTCAAGATGTTCTTTGTCTTTCAAACATGCGGCTACTGAATCAGATGCAACGCTTTCATTATCTCCCAAAAATTTAATGGTTAAATGGCCATGCAAGTTGTTAAGCTTGCACAATTCACCGAGCCCGCCACTTTGTTTGGACACGACTTTGTTGTTGCCGCCCACTAAAAACAAATCTAATGTGTGAAGCGAAGTCAACTCACCAATCCCACGAGGCATATGATCTAAAAGATACGATCCCTCAATCTTAAGATGCCTCAACTTGATTAAGTTTTGTAGACCTTGAGGTAAACTTTTAAGGTTACTACATCCCAGGAGTATCAATGTTTGTAAATTATACAATCTCGTTATGGAATTTGGGAGCGTCGTAATGTTACAATATCCTGAAAGATCAAGATATCTCAAGTGTTTTAAGTCACCCAGTCCCTTTGGCATTTTCTTATCATACACCGAACATAACATAAATGTGCGTAGAGACTTAAAGTTTAACAAAAAAGCATCACAATCTGAGGACCGTAATGGCTCAGAGTTGGGTGAAATAAATGTGCGCATCTCTTTTTGATCCAACAAGGCTGGTGGAATTTGGCATGATCCAAGGGAGTTAAAATCAACAAACATATGAAGAGCTCTGCCAAAAGAACTTTCCCCATGTCCATCTAACTTGGAACTATCCATCTCTACATAATTACATGAACTTTCATCTAAAGTGATGATTCCCTTTCCTGCAATTGAAATTGCAAGATCATGCATGAGGTCATGTATTTTACAAGAATGTATAGTACCTAGTATATCTTCTTTTGGCTCTTGGAAAAAGGAGCCCATAAGTAACTCCATGAAATAATTATAACCGAGATCTTCGAGACATGATCTGTAATTGTTGTCTTGGGGTTTAACAAACTCGTGCGCTATCCATTGATTTATCAATGTCTGCACTTGGATGTCAAAACCTTTCGGAAATAATCCACAGTACACAAAACAACGTTTTAAATGTGAGGGGAGATTGTTATAGCTTAGCTTTAGGGTAGGTAAGATGCCACTATCGCTTTCATTCTGATTAGCTATTTTTGAAAGTTCATTCTGCTTAAAACCCATCAACACTTTTCTTGGATCATTAGAGCACACTAATCTTTTAAACAATAACCCTCCTATTGTCTTTATGGCTAGAGGAACTCCCTTGCACTTATCTACAATGTCCTCTCCTATTTTAGCAACCTCTAAGTTCACCATGGGCTCTTTTCCTTTTAAAAAGGCCGTTTTTTGAAATAAAGTCAGAGAATTCTCTGTGTCTAAACCGCTCAACTTATGGAATCGACTTGCACCTGTTATCTTAGCTACCATTTCACTTCGAGTAGTTATTAAAACTCTACTACCACTTGCACCCCCTTTCAGTAATATATCTAACTTATGCCATTTTTCGGCATCTTCATTCCATACATCATCCAAAACAAGCATGAATCTCTTTCCTTTTATTTCTTCTCGAACTCTTTTTTGCAATTTATCCATGTCAGGATTTTCCTCTAGGCTTTCACCAGTTATCGACTTAATAACTTTTCTAACAATCAATTTCACATCGAATTCCCTAGAAACGTACACCCAAATTTTTAGATCAAAATATTTTTGGACCTCCTCATCATTAAATACGAATTGAGCTAGTGTTGTTTTTCCTAAGCCTCCAATTCCCACTAAGGCAATGAGGGAAACATTCTCTATGGTTTCAGTGTCATCCAACAAAAGTTTTAGAATCGCCTTTTCATCATCGTCCCTCCCAATGACCTCGTCATTCCTAACAAATGAGTGAGTCTCCCTCATTCTGAGAATAGGGGAGAGAGGTGCTTCTTCAACTTTTTCACACAAGTGAAAAGTCCTGTTGGTTTTAATCTCCTCTAGAGTCTTTCTAATTTCCTCCATTTTACTAGCTATCTTCACCCGAAAAATAATATGGTTTGAGCTCGAGAAGAAAATGCGTACCTTCTTCGCCTTTTTCTTCCCACAAACCACCTTACGATGCAGTTCTTCGTAACGATACTCATCCACAAATTATCTGCACGGAGAACAGCATCTTCAAGCTTTGCAAGCAACAATCTGACCTCCTCATTGGCCTGCTTGTCCTCAGCATCAAGGAGTACAGCTTTGATGTTGAAGATTGCTTGATTGAGTTTCTGAAGCTCGCCCTTCACTCCCCAAGGAAGTTTAATCTTTTTGAGAGCTTCAGAACCCAAGTTTGCAACGAGTCCTTCCGCAACAGCAAAGAGAAATAACGCCATGGATTCTTGATTTGTAAGTCGAGGAAAACCAGCTCGGTTTGAAAGTGCTTAGAGCTACTAACAACAAAGCATATGGTTGCAGTTTAAATTAGCAAGATATATATATATATATATACATACATATATATTATATACGTATTATATTGTTTCTTCGTAGTTTCCAACGTTTTGAGTTGAATTGTTTCTGATTTATTCAATGAGGTGCTTGTAAATTTATCATGCTTATGCAGATTATTTGTTTTTATCTGTCTACTTGTGGTTCTTTTGTACAGCACGCCGGCCACATGCATGTAGATATATACAAGAGAGATTAAATCTAACTATATGATCGGCTTACAGCTATTTCTCGATTCATGACTTGTAACTTGCACAAATATTTATGTTTAAAGATAAAAAAAAAAGTAAATATCGACAACTTTGTCCATATTTCTTCGATAATATCACCCTTTGGTATAAGTATAGGGGGATAAAAGATGTATATTCCTCGAGTAGCCAGCTGAAACGAGGGTTTCTTCGCAATATATCTTACTTACGTATTCGGATATATGGCCACATTCCTATGGATTAATATCTCTATATATTGATTCTCAAAAAAAAAAAAAAAAAAAAATCTTTGTATATTGCAGTTAATTTGACTATATGTCATTTTTAAGAGGTGGTTGGTGGGTTTTTATCATTTTATTTCATTTCTTTTGATTCGAATAACTTACAAGTGGTATAATGTCTATATTACCCTTCATTTGATCTAAATTTCCAATCTTACAGTTAATCACCAATTAACTCCAATTAATTAGTGATTAACCATATATATATATAGTTGTCTAGAGTAAAATTGTAATTTTATTTATTGAAAGTAATATATTTCAAACTTTTCCACATAATGTAATAAGGGTTTCCTTTTTGCTTTGCTTTGTGTTTTAGAATGTAATAAATGTGTGGTGATGTTGTTCTTGCCACCTTTTATTATTTTTTTTTATAATAACAGAGGTAGTTTTCCTACCGTCCAGTATTGGTTATGTCTCCTACCCGATTGAGTATTTTTCCGATGGTGTGAATTGTTTGGTCAAGTTAGAATATTATATGTGTCATGATGCTGATGTCCCCTCTGAGTAGGGTTGGTGTTTTGGCCCTCCAACGCTCAAAAGCTTATTTTGATAGTAGGAATTTTTTCAACTAGAACCTTACGTATACTCAATCTTAGTGTACTGAGATTATCTCCCGTTTTTGGACCTCATATGTACGTCCGTCTCTTTATCGGGTCATTAGCATTGTATTGTGCTGTTTATTTATCTATTTCTGCTTGAATACAAGTTTCCCTTTCAAAAAAACTAATTGCAACTGTTATTTCTTATGCATTCTCTATTATTTGTTTCTGTGAGGTGATTTCAAAATTGGCTTTTTCCCTCCCTTTACTTCTATTAACATACTTTTTTTCATATGTGCCCGTGCTTAAACTTTTGTTTTATTTTCATTTTGCCAAAAGATTCTCTACAACATATTCCTTTTTAATGTACTTCTTTTAAATAGTTGAGTAACATCATAGATTTCAAGTAATTAGAAACTATTTTGTTTCACTGAAAATCCAAAGACAAGGGAATTGGAGAAGCGAGAATGAAGAAATGAGTGATACGCTCGAAAGCGCAAGGAAAAACAGACAAGAAATGAGAAGAATAGAAGACATTCATCCAATTCAGCTGATTATACTAAAATGTACATTACTTTGGTTCAATCTTAATAGTTTGTCTTGTGAACAAACAGGAGGAGAATTCTTAACAAAATAAACGTATCTCATCATTGTAATCGTCACATGACAAATATACTTTCCCACTATCATAAAGGTTGAATCTCTTGCAGGAAATATCTTGAGAAGAAACGTTAAAATTGATACTAGACTAAAACATATATGCTTTAGTACCATTTTTTTCGCAATATCGAAGTGGCCCGCCCAACATTTTGTGGCAAAATCTTTTTGGTAGCTCTGTTAAAGTATAAAACTATTGTTGGCCCATCTCTTAACGACTTAAACTTTTGACGGTTAGAGGTGAGCCAACAATAATTTTATACTTTAACAAGTTCTTAAAACAAATAATCATGACAACTATTTGTCCACCTCCGAATTCCCCATGACACTCCAACAAAAAACGCATGACCATTAAAATCTCAATCCACAGTTTGCACTTTATATGCCTGCATTCGGCTGTTTGATCTACAATTCCTCATCTTCCTCCCCATATCAAAAGTAAAATTAACCATCAAAGGCCCAAATCCAGTCGAGTTCCATAGATTTTATACATGTTTCTGAACTAAACTGCCAGAGAGGGATCTCGAACTCTAGTACTAACATTAACTTGGCACATGACTTTGTAACTAGTAATCTAGCGGAAGAGCCTTGGTACAGATCTCTTTGGTACTTTCCCTTCCAGTTTCAACCGTCTATATGCTTCTCTAATGTGGCACGGCCTAACTGGCCCGGATTCTTTCCTCTCGGACATAACTATTCTAGCTGCAAATAAGTTAAGTAACAAACAAACAAATAAATAAACGAACAGCGCCTTGGCAGACGTGTCAAATGCCATACCATTTTCATTTCTCAATATGTAATTCATCTAAAACAGAAAGGAAAAAAAAAAAAGTATTATAATGCTTTCCACATGAAATTCCTGGGCGTGTGATTAATAATGGATCATAAAACTGCTACTGCATTATCTGGCAATATTTGTTTTCTTTATTGTTCGTAGGGATATAGTATTATTCTTACACAAAAAGGAAAAATGGTAAAATAATAGACATTTTTATTTTCTTCGTTCCTATCCGTTTATCATGAGGGAGTAATTGAAATACTGTAGATTATGTCAAACATAAGCTGAAAATAGAAAAATACCTGTTTCAACAAGTTCACCAACAAATATCTTTGCTATACCGGAGACTACAATTGTCATCGGTATGGATATTTTCTGGGTTCCGGTGATACTAGTTAACAACTGCACTCAGAGAATATAATGCAAAAATGAATAACCTTCTACAATATCGAATGCAAAAACTAAGCATCTCGTGAAAAAACCTTATCAATACGGCTTAGAAATCTAGCAACTCCTAACGAGTCTGCAGATATCGTCATTTTGCAAGCCACTCAAAATGCATATTGAAAAACAAGAAGCTTTCCATATCCCAGAAAAACTGAGCTCGTTTAAATGCATAGCTCTTTTGCTTGAAGTTTGTAAGGCAATCATTGCATCTAGAGTTTTTAGAAATCTGATGACAATTCAAAGTAGAAAATTAATCAATTTTTTTTTTTCGAAAATAAAAACTTCAACCAGCCTAATAAGAGCATACATATCCAAAAAAAAAAAAAAAAAACGCATTAAAACATCAAATCCCATAGCAAAGATAAAAAAAAGTTAATCAAACATCTGATACCTATTTCACATTGAACCCAATTCAAATTCGGTCAATTGTAATTGTAACTTTCTCCGATAATTGATGAACACAACAAAATGCTTAGTGTGAGGAATCAAACTAATAAGCAAGAAGAAACTAAGCAAAATACCCTTTTCATGTTAGATTTCTGAAACCCGGCTCTCCGAAACGACTCGTATCTACTCATCTGTTCCTCCGTGAACTGCGACAAAATAGCCCTAAAAGAAGAAAACAAAAATCAAATCACAATTTAATTAGAATTCCCAAATTCAAAACCGGAAGGGGGATCAGAATTAGAAAACTGACTGCATCTTTGCCATCTTATCGGGATCAGCGCTGGAAGGGAACTTGTCGAGCTCGACCTCCATGTGTTCCTCCTCTTCCTCCTCCTCATTGTCGTCTCTATGGGTCTTGTGGGCCCCCCGAGAAGACGACGGCAAAGACGGCGCCGTCGAGTTGGCGGGGACGGCGGATAAGGAAGAAGAAGAAGATGGGTCTCCGGAAATGACGACAGGAAGAACGGTGTTGTCGTCGTCGCCGTCGTCGTTTTCTTCGGGAGGAGGATTGGGAATGGATTCGGAATTGGAAATAATATTGGGAAGAGGAGGAGGAGGAGGAGCGGGGGAAGCGGGAGGAGAGTCGTAGTCGTCGTCTTGGTGTTGCTGTTGCTGCTGCTGCTGCTGCTGCTCCTCCTCGAAAGCCGCTTCGAAAGGGTCTTTTGATTGCTGCTTCGTTAGCTTTTTGCCTTCCATTGTTTCGTCGTCTGAGAGTTTTTCGGGGAGACAGGAAGTTTAAACTTACTGGAATTTTTCTTTTCGTTTCTGGGCTCTTCCAAGTCCCAAGTCCCAAGTCCGAACACTAGTTATATAAAGTCCTGGACTTCCACAGCTTTTCTCTGTTATTGTTTTTTTTTTTTTTTTTTATATTTGAGTAATACATAATTTGTCGTGATTTTATGCACTTTATTATTTATATCATTTTAAAGTGACTTTCATTTCATGAGTTTTTAATTTTTAATTTTTACATTTAATTTTTTTATTATAATTAAAAAAATTTAAAAAATATCATATCTTAATTTTATTAAGTGTCATTGTGAAATACTTAAAAAGCATTAGTCCTTTTTTCCCTTCATTTTTTTCCTCTTCTCTCCCTCCGGCCAAACAACTTAAAATTCCATTGACTCTCCTTTTTCTTTTACTTTTTCTTTTTTGGCCTCCACATGTCATCTCTACCATAGTGTTAGGTGTGAACCGTTCACCACTGCTTACACTGGTTATAATCACCACATAAGATGAATTTTTAATGTTATAAATAGTTTTTGTATATCAAAATCACATGGTAAAAGAAATTAATAACCTGTTTATTTTATAGATATAAAAAAAAAAAAGTTAAATTTTTGTGATAGACAATACGATGATAATAAGACCTCATTTATTACATCGTTTTGAGTTTTACACCTTCCGAGTACCATACCATAGTTGGGATCTCTTCCCCTTTCCATCGCTTTTCACCTTGTCGGGCACAGAGCAACGGATTTCTTGTCCTCGGCCCAACATCCCAATTGACATAGTAAAATTCCATTAAACTGGATGTCAATACAATATACAAGATGTAGCTGACCAAAATTACTACAATTCTCCAGCCCATTCAGTTTTTTCTTACGGTAATAACACTGCCAAAGAAGCATTTTAATTATTACATGAACTTTACAGGAGCTCGGTCGGACGCGAAAAGATTCAGAAAACCCACGAACAAATTTCAAACCTGCACATAACTATATTTCCTTTAGGCTAGTAACCGAACAAGCTCACAGAATGTGCAAATCAAATTGCAACTGGGGCTACATGTTGCAAATTGTATATCATAAATTAGTGAGCTTTTTGGTCCTTTTCACAGCGGTCTTTGCAAGAGCATCACATATCTCTCTTCGTCGTTTGGAGTTGTTCTTTCTGTTGTCGTCATTGTTATTGTTGGCTGTAGCATTATTGCTACCATGGTTGCCCTGAACTTTTAGCGCTTCCTTCACAAACACTTTTAATCTCCATAACGTGTATTCACTCTGCATACAGCGGGTTAAACTAGTCAAAATGACACATTTAGAAAACTATGAGTATGGCATAAACAAAATACTGCGCTATCATATTAGACTAGTGCGGAATGGCCAGAATGATGATTATACGAAGTACCTGAGCATCAATGTCGAGATCCACTTCTTGGGCAGTTGGTTGGAAGCTTGGGTTATTCTCAGCTACTATTTCCAATGCCTTGCTGAGATCCTCGTGAGACAATCGACTAATAGCAGCTCCGAGCTTTCGTTTCTCCTCAGTAGACATTCTCCTAAATATATCAAGGGAGCATTTTTTTTCTTCTTTTTGGTAAGTATGAATCCATAGTAATAAGCAGTGCTAGCTAAAAAGAGGAAAAAAGAATGAATAGAAACTGCAGCTACAACCAGTCAATCACACAGTGCGCATACAATAAGCACACAATAATGGAAATGGCACTTTTTGGTTTACCAAATGCCCATTTATAACAACAAAATATCTCTTCTAATACCCTATTAAAATTTTGATAGGTCACAAATCAGTTACCCATGTGCTTGCCCTATACTGCTTCATTTTACCATTGAAAAAATTTATGTTTAAGAATTTGAAGGGGAAAAAAAAAAGTAGGAAAAGGGAATTCATCATGGGCGGTACGAGCTGAAGATTAATTCACATAGACATTGGTCTATTCAGCAACACACACGCGCGCGCGCAAAAAAAAATAATATATATATATATATATATTTATATGTATATATATATATAAAATAAAAAAATAAAAATAAAAAGAAGGAGTTGACATGGATCTGGAACAAACCTGCATTTTTGAACTAGTGCTTCTTTCAGCTGCCTCAATTGCCTATCTAATTCATAAAGCTGCAACACGGTGGAAGATCAAGTATTTCAGAATACAACACCCCATAGCCATTACTGATAAAACCTATGACTGTCCTCACCCACATATATTCACATAAAAAATAATAGATACTGAATATATATACATCCATATTCTATATACAGCATCCACCCTTCCACAAGTTTTCTTTAAGTAAAGAGAATTTTCTGATTTGACTAACCTCATTCCTAGTATCTTTAGCCATGTCTGCATAAGCAGCCTCTTGGGTAAGCTGCATGTCTAATTGTGCTTTAGATTCCTCCTCTTCTCCTCTCTTTTCCTGAACGTGGCTTTCGAGTAAGTATATATATATGCTATGTTCAATTCACACCTCTGGAAAAGTCCCCCATATTGACATGTGAATTTACCTCTTCAGCAACTTTAGGCAAAAGCTGCAGCCATTTTTCTTCAAATTTCTCCAACAAAGTCTTAGCCATCACATGGACGTCATCTTTTTCATTGTTGTATTTCATTGCGTTCTTAAAAACCAACCTCACATCAGCATATATCTCCCGGACATTCTTATACCCGCCCCCATCCTTAGCCTCCATTTTAGTTTTTATTGTGCCGATGTCCATGGGTTTCTCAATAACCTAGGAAGGATAACTTAAACCAAATTAAAATAGGAGACAAAATCTGAAGGTACGAGAAATTTTGTTAGTAAGTAATTCCAATTCTTCTGCATTTATCTATCACCAATTAAGTTCTCTGCATTATAAACGCATAAACTTCAGTTTTTCTTTCACAAAGGTACAATAAAGAATAAAAATAAATAACCTTAACAAACATATGAATATGATATGTTCTCTTCTCAGAGAAAGAGAAGTTTACATTAGAGCTCAAAGGCACATCTTACAACTTCCAACTTCCAAGTACATAAAGATTAAAGAGAATGCAGATCAAAGAAGATGAATTAGCGGATGATCTGAAGAGGCACAAAGCTTTTACCTCATAATAGTCATGCAAACCTAGACCTTCGACATCTACAGGTTCCATAAAAGGCCATGCCCACTTGTGCTGAGTGATCTGCTTGCAGAAAGAAACCATATTAACTAGCAGTTACTCGTGACAAAATGATAAATTGCCCGCCAAAATGATTCAGCCCCAAAAAGCATTTGCGTTAAAGAAAACTAGAAAGTGAAAAGTTCCTTTTGCGGCAAAACCACATCAGCTCCAAATTAAAAGAGAAAACAAAAGGGACATCAAGGACTGCTCGGAGTTATATACAAACTACACAAATATACAGCATATACTACATTTGTGATGTGTGTGTGTGTGTGTGGTAAGATGACAATATTTTTTGCGAACAAACTTTTGTAGCATGACTGTGACATCAGGTATTAAAAAGTTCTGCTTTAAGTAGGTGGTTACACCCTCCATTAGATATGTACATATAACCGTTTAAGTATTCATATGAAATAGAATTTTGTATACTACAGAAAACATCACACTTTAAAAATAAAAATCTAAAGATAACCAGCAAGAATCCAAAAGATCAAGGCACGTATGTTTAAAACTTCCTCCACAGTAACATATGCCTAGGTAAATTTTTTTTTTTTTTCCTTGCTCGAAAATATGCGTAGCTGCTTGTGCCCAAATTCCTAAGTAAAAGCCCTGTCTAGCAAAGACAATTAGAAAGCTTGAGGTGTTTGCCTGGCGCAATATTGTGGCAAATTGGCGCATCAATTCTTGCATTCTCCTCGCTGCAGCCGCTTCCCTTTGTGATGCATCTTGCTGCTGCTGTTGCTGTTGCTGTTGCTTAAAATTACTGAAATATTTCTCCCTCTCTCTGTCCTTCAAAATTGAGCTACCTTTCGTGAGCTGCGTATTTCCCGTGGCTGAATAAAACTGTTCAACCTCATTCACACTTTTTTCAATCTGCATAGTTTGTTAAGAATTTCTGTCAAACTTAAGAAGAAGAAGAAAAAAACCCACCAACTGGTATTAAGCAAGCCAATTGGCAGGTTGTTTGAACTCCTTTGAATAGTTAAAAAGAAGAAGCTTCAACAGGAATGCATTCTTAAAATTTCTCATCGCTGTAAATGTGAAACAAGTCGATGTTCTGATCTTTGTAAATAAGCCTCACCTTATCGACCCTTGTGGATATTTCAACAACACAATTCCCAAGATCCTCCACCTCTGCCGCACTAGCGTCAGCCTTTCCTTGATCCACTTGATTTATTTCTGGGTTCAAAGAATTTGGGGGCTCCATCTGGTAAAAAGAAATGAAAGCAGGCGGTGAAAATTCATTAATGACGAAAACCTCACCCCCATAATTTCAGTAATCCCAAAACTAACTGCGAAGACTAGAACATTCACTTCACAAGCTACAAATTCGGTACAATACAAGTACTTCATTTTTCTTTTTGGGTCTTTTTGAAAGAACAATATCAGTTAAAAAAATAAAGAAAGAAAAGAAAGAAGGGAAAAAGAAAAAGAAAAAGACATTTTGCACCATTCAATGAACTAAGATTTCGATTCCAGAGAAACCCACTTTGAGAATTGTAAAATCTATGAAATCCCATCATAAAATAAAATAGAAACAAAGGGAAATGAACGACCGTATTACAAGAGAAACGTTCACAACCATCTCCTCAAAGGGTTGAAATTCCACTACAAAATCCGAACTTTTAAACAAAATTTACAAACAGAAAACCAACCTTGGAGGAGCTCTGGTTTCCGGGAGGGTTGGAATCGGCTCCGGTGCTCGGGGGGGAGAGACGGGCTGACGCGACAGCGCTCGCGCAGGGGGAGGGTCGACGGCTGGGTCACCGATGAGGGTCGCCGATGAGATTTTACTACCTAAAATGTTAGAATTTCAATTGTTATTTTTATTATTCTTATTTTCTTATTCTTATTATTCTTATTTTTGTTTCTTTTGTTGTAAGAGAAAATGTAAGAATTTCATTTCACTTTTCAATTTTCTCTTGCTGAACTTACCTTAGGATTTTTATCCTTGATCTTTTATCATTCTTAATTAACACCGATTATTAATATAGTTATTTGATTAAAAAAATTATTAATTAAGAGAAATAGATAAAAATTCTAATTATGTACTTTTAAGGAGTATTTGTCTCATTCTCTTTATTTGTAACACTTTAGGTTGGTTTCGAATCCTTTTAGACTAGGGTCCTGATCATTTAACCGATTCGAGTTTAGAATTCGAGTTTTGCTACAGTAAAAAACTCTCAGAAACAATCACGTCTAACTTTTTTATCACAGTAAAAAGTTCTCACATAAAGTCACATCTCAACTCGAATATAAAACTCGAATCAGCGAACTAAACGGGCCTTAGAGTCAACATCATGCAGGTTAAGTATATTTTTAAAAGATTTTTTAATCTACCTAATCAAGTTTAAATAGGTTGATTTCAAATTTAATCCATTTAACAACTTAAAATTTAAAATTAACTCACCCAATTAAATTTTAAATGAAATGGATAAATTAAACAGATTGAGCATTATAAAAGAAATAAAAAAAATAAAAAATGAAACTAACAATTTAACCTAAATAAAATTAACCCAAGATAAAAAAAAATGTCTTTTGAAAAAAAAAGCTAACTTCCATCACATTATTAATAAATTATAGTGGAGTTGATGTAAGATTAGATGCTTAGCAAGTGCCAGTCTAATTTAGAGGTGTCAAATGGGCCGGGCCGTTCATGGACGGTCCGGCCCAATCCGTAATAGTGTCGGATTCGGTACGGCCCGGTTCGCTACTGTTATAGGCCGTGCCGGCCCGGCACATGTAATGGGCTAAGGCTGGACCTTAGCTTCTCAACCCACGGCCTAAGCACGTGGAGGCCCGCAGCACGGCCCTTGTTCGGCCCGGCCCAAGCCCACGAAACGGCCCATGAAATAACCCATTTCATTTGGTCTAGGGGGCCCTTCGCGGACCCAACGGGCGGCACGTGACGGGCCTCCTGTTTGGCCCGTCACATGCCTCCCGTTTAGCACGTGACAGGCCAAACGGGAGGCCCGTCACGTGCCGCATGTTGGGCCCACGAAGGGCCCAACGGCAAAAAACTGAAATTTCACCCTAAAATTCCCTATAAATACCCCTTAATTCCACCATAAATTCCACACAACAATTCACTCTCAACTTCTCATCTCACTCTCATTCTATCTCTTAACTTATCTCTTTGATTTTGATTCTAAGCTTTTTTCTCGCGTTCATTCATTTTCTAGCTCTTTCATTTACAAAGTTCAATCAAGTTCTATCAATTTTTAAAAAAATGGTCGCACCAAACTTCCCTAATTTCACTACTCTTCCTGAGCTTGGTGATGAGACATTTTTTGAGGAAGAAATGATGCCTCCCAACCCCACCGCCACTAAGCCGGAAAATGCTCCGGTGGATAATGCTTCAGTACACAAAGAGGAAGCTGGAGAACGCAGCAGAGGAAAAAGACCGCGAACTTCTCCGGTATGGCAGCATTTCACTGAGGAGCCCCGACCAAATCCAAAAACAGGTGAGATGAAAATTCGTGTGATATGTAAATATTGTAAAAAGTACTTTTCTAATAAAAATGGTGGGGGTACTGGTCATCTAGATAGACTTTGGAAAGTATGTCTACCGTTGCACCAAGGTGGGAGTGTAGACTCCCGCCAACAAACACTATCACTCACATCACAGGGGTTACAAAATTTTACATACGATGCACAACGTGCTCGTGAGGCACTAGCTAAATTTCTAGCTAGTGCCGAATTGCCTCTTTCTTTTACAAATGATGCCTCGTTCAAAAAATTCATCCAGACAGCCTTTTGCTCACAATTTAAACGGGTAAATAGAAACACAACTCGTTCTGATTGCATGAAAGTTTTTTATGCAATGAGACAATCTCTTGTTGATAATTTTAGGACTTTTAATGCTACTGTCTCTTGCACTTCTGATCTGTGGGAGGGGTGCAATAAAACTGGATATTTATGTGTCACAGCGCACTACGTTGATGACGATTGGGTTTTACAAAAAAGAATAATTGGTTTTTGTTTATGTCTATATCCTCATAACGCAACAGCTATTTTTAGTACAATAATAGAAATTTTTGAGTTTTATGGGATAGAAGATAAAGTGTTAACAATGACTTTTGATAATGTGTCAGCTAATACAACTGCAATTAATCTGTTTAAACGTAGTTTGAAACCAGCATTTGGAGGGGAAATTTTTCATCAACGGTGTGCATGTCACATAATTAATTTAGTAGTTCAGGTAGAAATTGAACATATCTCAGCTAATCTTACAAATATTAGAGAATCATTATCATTCATATCTAATTCTGGAGCTCGGCTCCAAGAATTCAAACAATATTGCAGGAACAGCCAGATGCGCCCAAGAAAGTTTTCAATTGACGTGAGACATATGTCGAATTCAACATATTTAATGTTGAAGGCAGCACTCCCGTATTCACAGCTTATCACGATATATGTAAACAGTAGGAACGATCAAATTTTAATTTTCGATCCTGATTGGCAGATTGCTAAGTATTTTTTTAAAATTTTTAGAAGTTTTTTACAATACTACTGAATTACTTTCTGGAGTTTATTATCCTACTGCACATTTAGCTTTACATCAACTATTTAATATTTCAGAAACATTTTCTTATTATAGGGATACATAACTTTTTAGAAATATAGTTAACTTAATGAAAAATAAATTTAAAAGTTATTGGTCAAGTTGTCCTATGTTATATGCATTGGCAACCATTTTAGATCCTAGGTGCGGAGTAGATTGGCAACCATTTTAGATCATAGGTGCGGAGTAGATGGAACTGAATCATTAATAACTGCTACCGCAGAGAATTTAGAAATAGATATGCAACTAAGTATTACTGACGCTAAGAAAATGTTAGAAAAAGTTTTTAGTTTGTATGAAGCAAAATATAGCACAAGTCAAAAAGAACAGGGAACTTCGTCATCAATGCAATAAAATCACATCTTTTGGGGAATATGATATATTTTTTTAATTAAATTTAAAAAAAAATACAAGGGCCGGCCCGTGAAGGGCCTGGACCTAGGCTCGGCCCTGGCCCTTATGAACTAGGGCTAAGGGCCTGGACCAGGCCTGAGTTTTTCTTCTCAGGCCCGGCTCAGACAGAACTGTGCTAGGCACGGCCCAAGCCCATGGGGTCAAGCGTGCCGTGCCGGCTCGGCACGGCACATTTGACAACACTAATCTAATTTAGGCGTGCTAAGTTCACTTACTCAAAATATATATATATATATATATATATGTATGTATGTATGTGTGTGTATATGTATGTATATGTATGCTGACAAAGTTTTTCAATGGATGCGCGAGGCGCTTATTAAATTCCCTCCCACCTACAAGTTTAAAAGGCACCAAGCGGGTTTAGCAGGTGAAACACATTGATAAGAGCCTCATTTTATATTGTTCTAATACAAGTCTATAAGACCGTATTAGATCGATCAACAGGTTTTGAGCTTAATGCTACTTCTCTACATTTATATATTATTATTTTTTTTTCGGGATATGATTCTGAAGAGAAAAAACGAATTCCTAATTGGTGTGACAAAATTATATATTGAGACAACGGGTCGGCTCCAGTGTTAGAGTACAATTATACTTTATTTTTATAGATAAATAAGCTGGTTTTACAAATAACATTTTGTTTATGCATCAAAACACATAAACGCTCACTAATCTACCTAAAATTAAGTAAAATGAAATTGTTGAAATGGAAAAAGGATTACGAATTGAATTTCTATTAGCAGATTGTTAATGTGACACGAAACAAAAGATATAATAGAGTTAGTCTCCATAATGGGGGACACGATGAACTTACTAAGATGACCTTGTCTAGTAGCAATATGGAACGGATCATGCCATTGCTTATCTAGCAGTAATGCTGAATTATACATTCAGTTTTTAATCTCATTAAATATATATTTTTAAATTAGATTTAATACTAACTTTATACGCCTCTTGCATGATAATTTGAAATTTGATGTTTATGTGAAATGTTCATTTATTATGCAAGTGCCAATCACACCCATGTATTTTGTCGGTTTTGTCGGTCTCATACATCGCCAGATGCCCAGATCATAACATTTGAACGTTTTAACTCTCTTTGGCTTCATTGCCATTCTGCCAGATAAGCTAATAATTTTGAATGCTTTAAAAAAAATTAAAATCATTTTGATAATCTTATAAAAAAATAAAAAAATCAGATTATTACTTTAAGGAAAAAAAAGAAAATTCTTTCATGCACTCTATCAAATTAAGGAGCGTATTTTTACTCTCCAAGTAAAGATAAATCGAGCTCCATAAGATAAATAAAGCGTCAAGTCTTTTAAAATGCTCTGCGTCTCTAGTTGGATATTTTTCCAAAGTATAACCCACAGAAGCTAGCTGTAGATCTAGATTTGATAACAATTAATCTAAACGAAAACGACAAATCTCAACAAAAAAACCTCAACTAACAAGATAGATAAATTTATATGAATCAACCTATCATCATTGTAGATCGACATCTAAGTGGACATAAATATTTAGTCCTATAAAAGTACTAAAAAAAAATTTAGAAAAATTGATGAGAAAATATATTCTCTCTTCAATGAAAAGAGTAGCTCATATATATATATATATATATATATATATATATATATATATCTAAGATGAAGATGAAAGAAAAGAACAACAAAAGTTTTCTTTTTTTTTTTCTCCTTAGGGAAAACCTGATATTTCATTAAGAAATTACAAACTAATTCACAAAAAAGGTAATAATACACTTACACATGACAGAATGCTTTCAAAATAATAATACAAAGAAAGAAAAAAAAAACATAAGAGAGAGAAAGAAGAACGTTACAATGTGGTAATGGACAAATATAATATAAAGAATAACAAATCATAATCATATGTTCTTTTTCTCTTTCTTTTGAAAGATAGTAATAACCTTTACACAATTTGGCGAGCGAGAAGATATCACATTGTTGTTGTGTCTCAAGGTTTTGGTGGTTCTGCCGTCGCAGCTTCCTCCGCCTTAGCGGGAGGGTGCGGCCGCCGCCGCCTCATCGGCCTTGGGTGGCTCCGCGGCGGCAGCTTCCTCACTAGGCTTTGGGGGTTCTTCTTCTTTCTTTTTTTCTTCCTTCTTCTCAACAACAATTTCTTCCTTCTCTTCTTCAACGACAATCTCTTTCTCTTTGCTGCTTGCAGGTGCTTCTTCAGTAGTTGTTTTTGGCGCTTCCTTTTCTCCTTCTTCAGCAGTAGTTTTGACTTCTTTCTCAACTACTACTTCTTCAGTGACAATAAACGTTGAGAACTTCTCGAACACAAACAACACTGGGCCTGATACCAAGGCTGGCCCGTATTTCGAAGATGCTTCTGTCACTTGTTTCGATCCTGGGAATTCTGTACTTACACATTATTGCAGCAGTCAACAAAATGGACCGTAATAATTAGTTTCCACACACACACACAAAAAAAAAAAAGAACAAAAAAATTGTGCAAATTTAATTGGATTTGAAAAGATATTCCAATTTAGATAATGCACCATAATCAGTGGGATCAATTTTTGTTTCCTAGAAAGATACCAAAATTTTAACTAGCAGTCTCCCACTAATACTCTCGAGACATTTTGTGCATGGCAAATTTATGGTTGGATACAAAGAAAAAAGTTTATATTTATTGGTATGGAGACTGACGAGTTTTAAAATAAAATAATATAAATAAAAAAAACAAAATTCCGTTAAAATTAATTTTTTTAAAACTATAATATGATCTAACTATCTAAAACTTGGCACTGTCAACAAACTACTTTTTATATTCTATAATAAATGTAATGGAGTCGATAAAAAATCTGACAGTTTTACTATGACAATTAGGTAAATGTTTTTTTTTTTTTTTTACCTAAATAAGAATTTCCTGTAACAGAAAAGAAAAAGTCTAACACATAACGATAAAGGGAATTAAAATTAGATGAGAAGTGTTGATTGTACCGATTTTAACGAGCTCTTCTAAAAACTGGTGGACTGCAGCCGAGTTCTTCTTCAGCCCCGCCTCCTTCGGTTCCTTAACAAAACTCTGCACAAACAATAATTTAAAACAAAATTATTTCTTCTTCTTCTTCTTCTTCTTTTTAATTTTGTTGCTATTTATTCATTTGTTTTTCTTTTTTACGCATGTTGTTATGAAAATTCTCTAACCTTGATTTCGGTGGATGAAGCTTCATAGATTTCAAGGACCTTAGGTTGAAGCTCATCTTTCTTCTCCTCAAATTGCTTGTTGATTTCCTCCTGAAAATAACCACGTGAATAAATTAATACACAAATATTTGTACATGAAACGAAAATAATAGCAAAAAACAAAAAACAAAAAAAAGTTGCATATCTATAATATAGGAATACATATTCCATATACACACAGAAAAGGAAAAAAAAAAAAAAATTTGTGCAAATCCAAACTCTATAGGAAACTAATACCCACATACGGATTAAATTGAAAGGTTAATTCAATAAAAGAAGAAATAATCACACATAAAGCAAATATTATTGAAGAAGAGATGCATGGATGCACAAAATATTTTATATATATTTATATATATATATATATATTGTATATACATGAATATGTGAGAGATTATTATATAATGTTTAAGGGAATTAATTAATTACCTTAGAATCGTCAAAGGACTTGACAGCCTCAGCAGCTGCAGCCTTTTTAGGACCATTCTTGTCGAAGACCTTTTTTATCTTCGGAAGCACCTTTGATTTCCAGTAACCCATGATCTCTAAACGGGTTTAATGATATTTTCCCAACGCCAAAATCCCAGAAGCCAAACAAAGTAAGCGGATTTTCTAGGAAAAAAGAAAGATTTGGATCAATATTAATGAAAATCACACCACCCTAGCTAGGTAAAGAACATATGTAATTAACAAAGATATAGAAACATGAGATAAAACAAGTTTATATAGCTAGCTAGGACATGTACAATACTTGATGAAACTGAAAATCCAAGAATCTCTCTCTCTCTCTCTCCTCCCTTAATTTCTCTGCTTCTCTCTCTAACTAATTATAATTACTTACATAATGAAATGTTGGAGGGTTTCCAATCAAAGAAATTGTCGACCTCAACGTAACTGTTGCAGCCAACTGTCCGTCTCCCCAAATTAAGAACTTTCTTCGCATCTATGCTTAAGACCGTGGCATCAATCAACATATAGACAACCCCATCCACCTACCAAACAGCCCCCACATTCACAATCTAATTACCATAATGCCTCCTCGCTCAATGATTCCATCCTTGCCACCATGCGAAATGGCCATCCTAGCCGGGAGTTGTGGGCCGTGCCAGGGGTAAAATCGTCAGTTGGGAAAATTGGGGGGTAGGTTTTGCATGATTGGTAAGATGGAAAATCCAGGGTGGATAAGGGGAAATGAGAGGAGTTTGGTGGCCTTTTGGGGGATTCAGTGAAAAGAGGCGGCCAGAGTGTGAGGTGGCGTGGGGGAGGTGACAGCTGGCAATCACCTCAAACAGAGGTGTCCACACATTCGTGGGGCCCTTTCAAATTGGTTGCTAATATTGATGTTGATCATTTTTTTTTTTTTAAATGGTGTTGTTCATGTATTTAAATACATACACACATATAAATTTAAGTGAAAGTTCGGACTGGCCCGCCTTACTCGACAGTGAATGAAAATTTTAGGCTGGTTGAAGGTTGATTTAGCCTGATTCTAAAGCTCAGAATTTATAAGAGGCGTTTGTGTCGGGTCGGGCCATCACACATAAGATTTCGTGTTTAGAACTTCGGTTCAATGACGAGCTAATAGTGACAGATTTCAGACAGACAAGTTTGAGTAGGTTTAAATTTATAATTTTATATGCACACGAGTCTCATTTATTTTGTTGATTTGAGTTTAGAATTTGAGTTTTTCTATAGTAAAAAGCTCTCACAAATAATCACATCTAACTTTTTTACTACAGTAAAAAGCTCTCACATAAAATCACATCTCAACTCGAATTCTAAACTCGAATCAGCGAAGTACACGGGTGTCTTTTATCTTTTTTTGGTAACATTATATTGAGAAAAGTAATAACCGAAGGCACTTAATACATATGGCTTTTTGAAGATAAATGGTTTCCTTTTTTTTTCTTCTAAATTTATTTAAATTATAATAAGATTAATTTTTATTTCATTTAAACGCTTTGATGTAACAAAAAACGGATTCAGTGAGAGATTGCAGCCTTTACCAATAAAAATATGGGGCTTATTTATAATCTTACAATAAGGATCATACATCCTCATAACATATAAAAGTTAGAATTGTAGCACTATATTTATTCGGTGTAATACTCGCGTTTGAAAGATGTAAAATAAAAAATTTACTTATCTACACTATTATTACATTCTCCAACGCCAGTAATACTTATCATTAAAAAAAAAATTATACTAAATTATGATTTCAAGCGACAACTTACATAATATTAATACTTTTTAATTTAACAAATTATTACTTGATGTGACTTTCAGAACTGCATAATATCAAAGAGAAAATCTAATAACAAAAGTTCTCCATAAATATGTCAATTTGAGGAAATCTCTATTAGAAATTGACAGCCTTGCTTATTATTAGTATGGCGTATTTGTTTACTCTACAACAAAATTCTCTCTTGCAAGGTTAAAAAAATCTACATATTGACGCCTATTTTTTGTTTAGTTGAAGAAATCAAGTAATACTTGTAAAATTAATTATTTTCTTTTAAAAATAAAAGAAATGAAAAGAAAGGACGTATATAGTTATTTGTTGTTTATCTTTTGCTCTTGGGTTTATTCTCGGACTGGTCACATGGCTTCGCTGGTACTACATGTACTAGGCCACATTCGCTTCAGAAGCATTTAAATATCTACATATTTTGATTGATATATATATATATATATATAGTTATACATAATGAGGACAAACATTGATGCCGACCTTAGTAGTCTTTGTTAATTGTGGGTATTTTTTTATAAAATAAAGTGTACTATATTCTCATATGTGTGAAGCATTGGTTGGACTTGGCTTCATAATAATATTGAGTGATTAAGAGGAACATGATAGATAGCCATAAAAAGCTAGTTTGCATCCACATGCTACTAATGTTGTGGGGTATTGCTATGTACATACACACACACTTACAACGAGTTGGAGACAAACAACACATATTAGTTTATTGGTGGGGTTTTCATGTTAATCCTCCTTAAGCTGATTTTGACTTGATTCTCCATTTTACTTATCTTTTTGTTACCTTATTCTACATCAAATGTTACTCCTATGCTTTCTTAAAAAAGGAGGGGAAGGTGGGGAGTAGTTCTCATGGGAATGACTTAGGGTTCGTTTGGTATGAGGATTCAAACCAACGTGATTCTAATCATAATTTTAAAACCAAAACCATGATTCATAATTTTGGGTTTAAATCATGATTCAAAATCAGGGGTTTGAATCACCTTGAATCAAGAGGGATGTGGTTTTAGAATCATGATTTGAGCTAGTTTAAAACATCACATCAGATTCCAAACCATGATTCAAAATCATCCAAACCAAACATTGATTCTGAATCATGATTCAGAATCAAGGTAAACAAACACTTATTTTAAACCAGGATCCGGAATCATGATTCTAAATCCATCTATCAAACGCACCCTTAGTGGTGAGAAGACAAAGGTAATATTAAAAGATAATTTACCAGTTAAACAAAGATTTTGATATTGTAAACAATAAGTTACTTTCTAGTAAATTGACGATTTACATACTAACGTCATTGTTTATTAAAATAAAGAAATTGAGTTTGCTGGATAAATGAAGGATTTATCGGGTAAAAATATAACATTTACTACATAAAAATTATACAAGGACAAAATTAGAACATCACATATTGAAATTTTAAAATACACTATTTATTTTCATTGTTGGGAAATATGCTATTCAAATGGTTTAGTAAAATGCCCTATATGTACAATTTCCCTTCTTTTTATTAGATATACTCATATGGAGATCGGATTAACTCATGTCACCCCTGTTAAGTTGATCAAGTAAAAACAAAAACCATTTTGAAATAAAATCTTAAAAACCTACCTACCATAACATAATAAGATAAGCAGGATATATATACAAACACCTTCTAATTATGGAGCAAATATTATATGTACATGGATGAAATTGAATTGTATCCGGATAAGGATCGACTTTTGAATATTTTTGTAAATACTGGATATTATTGCACTTAAAAAAAAAAACTAAAAATACATGTTATCAAGATATCATTTATCTAGGCTAGACCATGACCATTGATATATTATAGTCCTCTAGAAAGATCACAGTGTTTATTATAGCATATATATATATATATATATATATATTCAATTAATAGATGGCTTCATAATTTTCCAATGATGCGTATACGTCATGCAGTTTATCAGCATATATATCTTTTTCCAATATTCAGAATAATCAAATATATAATACAATCTCAAATCCAATTATCCTAGTCATACATACGTACATATATATTTGACTGGCCAAACAAATTCAGTTTCGTGCACCAGTTGGCAAAGATATATAGCAAATATTGGTCTATATATATATATACACATTTGCACGTTGATCGTCAAATAATTCAAGTAAAAATCATGAATATTCCTAAATTTTGAAAAAGATGTTCAGTGTCTGTCAAACGTCATTTTCTATATCAAGTGCTTCACAAAATTTTTTTGAACACGTAAGCTTGATCATGCCATATAGAACTTACTAGAAATGCGTACTTGCAAGAGCAAATTAAAGATAAGTCTATAAGATACAAATTGTCAAGAATAACTTTAATCAGTTGGTCTCGTTACAACCTTATAATAAGCTCTTTCAATTCTATTCATCTGTTTGTTTTTGGTGGACCATTTTTATTCATTAATGCTGTTAGATTCATGTAACAGCAATAATAATCATAATAATCATAATAATCATAATAAATCATCACGTCATTTGTTATTTAAATGTTGAAATTGCCAGTACTATCTTTAATTTCTTACTAAACAAGAACAAGTTGCTTCCCTCAAAAAAAAAAAAAAAAAGTAAAAATACTTTCAAATACAATTAAGAGAACCGCTTTCACTGTTTTAATACTTAGAATTAATCAAGCTTAGAGAGGTAGATCCTGTCAAATATTTGAGTGTTAATTATAATAATTATACTTATAATTAATACTCAAAAAACCACAAGACAGAAGAATCAAAATAGATGAGATGTAGCGTTTGAGTGTGAAACTGTTACTGAAAACAACATGACATATAATTTTCATAACTCTACGTCATTGTGAAAAATGAAAGAATAACATTATTTATTTGGAGCGTAGTAGTTTATATCTAGATATTAGGTATCGTTCTTCTCTTTTGCCAAAATAAAAATGGTCATATCATTTATCTTGTGAATATGAATATGGATTTTTAAGTTCAATAACTCGTGTGAGCAATCAATTCTTGAAGAAGCGGAGTTGATAAGACCATAACACCCATTTTTGGACTTTATAATAAATGTACATCCTCAAAATTATCTACCTACCTATATTTCAACTATATTTTCCTTTCTATTTAAGAAAATTCTGGAAAAAAAAAAAATAGAACTCCAATAGCATTTTGTTGTTTTGAACACTTGAGTTTTTATTAAATTCTGTTAAATTTACACACATTTTTCATTGTGAGACGAATTTGATCTTGTATAAAGTTAAAAAGGATACAATACCAGTGGAGGTTTCCGATTATAGAATGACCTTTCTATCCATTTACTTTTTGGTGTTTGTTCCCAAAATCAAAACTAAATTGGAAAGATCCCAATAGTGGCTGCTGACATTCAAAAGAGTAGCTTTAGGGTTCAATGTTGGATAGTAACTTCTTATTACCAACCTACGAAATATTAGTAAAGGAAAATACTAATAAAATTTAGGATTGAGTTCTTATGTGCCTGTTTAGAATCATTTTCAAAACCGTTTTTCAAGAACTAAAAAATGAAAATGCTCTCACAAACGCGTTTGGCACCGCATTTCCTGAAAAATAAAAATTGAAAACATTTTCTACTTATTCCCAAAAAGTCAGCAAAACTGAAAACGATCCTCAATCGTTTTCCTTCCCATTTCCATTTTTCCCGACCCCACCCACCCACTCTTCTCCGATCTCCCTCGACTCTTCTCCGTTCTAAGCCTTGCCGGCCACCCCCCCCCCCAGTCTTCTCCGTTCTAAGCGTTGGATAGTCGGCGACAACGTGGAGAGGCTACTATATGTGTTTTGACTTTTCTTGTCCCACTTATTGTTTAGAACACAAAACTTTGCCTTTAAAATTTTCTTTTTGAAGGTTTCGTTCAGTTCGTTTCATACAAGAAAAACGATTAAGATATGGTTGGTTGTATTTCTAGCCCGACATTTATGTGCAGCATTTATTAGGCAAACTGGCGCACTATCAACCTCACGCTTCTGAACACCTAAATATATGTAATTGTCTAAACTCAAAACTCATAAGATTTACTTGGAAAAAAAAAAAGAACAAAAAAAAAACTTCATAAAGTTGTGGGCCACCAAGGATTACAAGGGATTGCATTTTGACATATTCACTTGTCAGTGGTGGCATTTTATTTTAAGTAATGCCAGTTCAGTACATTTTCAGGGACTTTCCATGAATAAGCCTTTCTTTAAAGTAGTCCTGAGTTCAAATGAACCATCAAACCATGCCCAGATTAAAGACACGGAAGTTAACTAGGAGACAATTATGATCTTACTATCAAGATAAGTAAGAGAAAAATAAATGTCGACCACCAAAGAGATATGTTACAATCAAGAATGCTGTCAAGTCGTCAACAACTACTTAAATGTATTACACCAACACTGGAGTTGACAGTTACAATCCTTCACCTCTAATATATCCATACCTACACTAGTCTTGACCCAAAATAAATAAAAATAAAAAATAAAAAAACCCTCTGTTTTCTCTTACATATTTTGCACTACATATATATATATATATATATATATAAGCATGTAGCCAAACTTGCTGAACAACAGAAAGGCTGACTTACAATCAATGAGGTGATTCTAAATTTAGAAGTCTAACAACATCAATCAATGACATAGTTGGGAGCTACCGCTAATATTCTGTCGTTTCTAGACATGGATGATGGCTGTCCTGCGCCTTCACCCTCTGTCGCTTGCCTACCGTCGTCTACCACTATTAAGTGGCCTTCTCTTCGGATCAAACTCTGCATGACAAGAATTTGGTTTAATATAAAGTTAGTAGACACTAGAGATGTTTTTAACAATGCTCTTTTTTAAGCACAGGATGTCACCTCTATAATTGCTTTGATTTTGGAAACTTCATTTGCAGCCTCCTCCATCGAACTGTAGTTGTTTTTCTCATTCTGTTGACTGATATACCACTGAATCAAGTCCCTCTGCCTCATTCCAGCCAGTCCAGTCCCTGCATCAAGAAAAGGCACCCCACTTTGTTAAAAAAGCAAACATAAAAAGAAAAATGTTGTAATTATGGCGACTTTTCTTTTTCTGGTAAATCAAAACGAACGCCCACTGAGGGACTTGTGCACTATAGCCAAAATCTTGGACCCGTGTTCAAAAATCGTCCTTTTTTTTTTCTTTGTCCAGTCTTTAGTAAATCGTGGAGTTACTAAAAGTAGATTATAAAGTTACTCCATAATATAACACTTAGAAAAAATTGGACTTTTATTTTTCTTTTTGTAAAAGTAAGCAAAGTGGAAATTTATGTATCAGAATTTGCTTAATGATATGGCTTACCTTCTTGCATAACAGCTTCTTCATGCTGTGTAAGACGCATGACAAGGGCTTGGGTAACCCTCTGAAAATACTCATCACTTATCACAAGTTTCTTTCCTTGTTGATTTGCAGAACCTCCTCCATTTTCTGCACCCCAATTTGATGACCGTTGGTAAATGACAATAAAAATAAACAATTTGAATAGCAAAACAAATATAAAACTCACCACGGTCACCATAAGCTGGCTCAGAGGCCGCAGCATTACTTGGTTGGTGATCTCCCTCACCAGAACCATGATTTCCATCACCACCATCATCACCATTACCACGATTTTCTTCTTGAAACTCAGACAGATCAATCTCACTGGACTCCACACTGCATGGCAAACAAATCCGCTCATTAGGGAAATGAAAGCAGAAACATGAAAACAGAAATATGAATATGAGAACATAAAATTCTTGCCTGATTATGGACGTTTTCAGCAATCTCACAGCTAGGCGGACATGGCGTGGTTGTACCTATAAAAAGATCACTGTAAGCCTGATGCAGAAAGATATAAAACAATCAAGTTAAAAGAATTGGCTTGCTAAATTTATAGGCACCGTAGTTTCCAAATGAGTTCTAGCAATGGCCTCTGAAAGCCTGATCAATGCTTCCAGTTGCCTAACAGTCATGCGGTAAGCAACTCTACTTCCAGGAGCTGTATCACCTCTGCGAAGAGTAACATAGGAGTCCACCAACAGTTTTCTGGCTTCTGCATTTAGCTGCATTGGAGAAATCAAAGTTAAACGAATAGAATTTTCAAGAGGTGGATGATAGTCATGGATGAAAAATCTAAATAACAGACCTTGGGTTTCAGAGTTTTTGCATATGCAATGTAACGCTTCAGTTCCGCAGTAGTGAATGCAGGAGTAAGTGCCTCCTCACGTTTCTGATGTACTCTCACAATGTGGTGCGCAATGTGGTAATCAGTTTGATCGTCCGGGTCATCAATCATGACGTATACTAGATCAAACCTTGAAAGAATAGCAGGAGGAAGAGCAACATTGTACTGCGAAAATGCTCCAAAATGGTTAGTCATGCATCAAAGGCTTCTTCTAGTAAATTCATAATACCCCATAATACTCAGCAATCAAACAGCGAAAACCTGACAACTTCTCAAGAAGAAAGAAAAAGGAAAGGGAAAATTTTAGAGAGTTTTCCAGAAGAGGTACAGGGTTCCAATATCAATTAGCTTGGATATGCTTTACCTTAAGAGGTTTAGATTTATCATAGCGGCCCCCTGCGGGGTTGGCAGCAGCAAGAATTGATGTCCGAGCATTCAGTGTTGCTTGTATTCCAGCTTTTGTAATGCTTATAGTCTGTTGTTCCATGGCTTCATGAATGGCAACCTTCAAGTCAATTCGTGCATTAGATTTCCAGGGTTTCTCTATACATAACATACTGATCAGGGTTTATACAAGATAATAGCAGGATACCTGATCTCTAATGTCCATCTTGTCAAACTCATCAATGCAACAAATGCCGTTGTCAGCTAGCATCAGGGCACCAGCCTGGAGTAACATAAAATTTGTTATTGAAGAAAATATAAGAAAACAGGGACAGTTATGCCAGAAGGGGGAGAAAAAAAATCAACTTGGCCTTTTATCTTCTCTTTTTTGTTTCATCAATTTTCTGTTACTCACTTTTTCCCCAAAAGTGATTTTACTTTGTTCCAATTTGATGCGATATTCTGTTGTTATGATTGGATACCTGATGATGTTTAAATTCACTGAATCAAAACGGTACAGCACAAGCTCTTATTACGGTTTTGTTTTTCATTTCTTTTTTCGCATTTTGTCTACTTGGAAATGGGCATGACCTCTTGTATTTAAAGGCACGCTATCAAAAGCAACGGACAAGTAGAAGCAAATTATGGTCTAATCTGATGTGTGAATGTGCACTCTCTCTGATGCAGATATTCGGATATAAGATCCTTTAAAATTGGAGTTGGAGATCAAACTAATGCATCCCTGATATGCTTATAAATTGGATATCCCAACTTGGATATTCTGATACATGTCCCAACTAAACTATATTTAACACGTTTTATCTTAAATGCTACTAGTTCTAGTTACAGATGCATTGATTTATTCATTGTAAAGTTACCATAAATATAGTTATAACTTTACCATGAGAAATACTTCCATTTTCTTCTTAGTGAAATAAGTACCTATATTTGCGAGGTTTAAATCTGAGATGACACCCAAAGAGCATAATGCTCTTATTGTGCCTAAAGACATTTCATGGGAAATATAATAGCATCAAGCATCTTGAAAACGAGTATGTTGTATATAATGGAATGCTGACTTTATACTAGGAGGCTAAAAGTATGAAAAAGCAAGCGGTGTGAAATCTTTGCAGTAAGAGCATACTTTTCAATTGGGTTCACTCAGAGATGTTTGCTAAGATTATAGTGCCTGAAAAAGTCCAAGTAGCCAATAATCTCCTGAAGAATTAACCTGTCTCTGCAGGTAATATATGAGTTCTTCCTGGGTTTCTAATTTATTGACTGAATGTTTCAAAAAGGCAGCTAACAGCCTGCAGATCAAAAATCCAAAGGCATGAATCCCCTAACAGGCCCAAGATACTTGCAATCCATTATCAAGAATGGAAAATTTCCATCTAGCTTCTGGATCATTGCAATGGAGGAAAAACTAATAAGATTAGGAGATCCTAGCAAACCATTATCAAGATCTTGTGGAAATTTTCCACCCAGGTCCTGGATCATCACATTGGAGGAGCAACAAAATTGCATAAAATTTAAAGATTTTCAACACGGTACCTCTATACAGAACTCTCCAGTTTCTGGTTCTTTGGCCACGGTTGCAGTTAACCCAGCAGCTGACGAAGATTTGCCAGATGTGTAAACAGACCGTGGAACTATACCGGAAGTATACCTGAAGTATAGAGAATCATTATAAGTAATCAAATCTGTATAACTATAAATGATATGATGAAAAGCAGAAAACTCGTCATACTTTAGAAACTGAGATTTTGCACAACTAGGATCTCCAACTACACAAACGTTGATGTCCCCTCTCAAGTTGATGCCTTCATGGGTGACTTTGTGGACACCACCCATAAGCATTAGCAGAATGGCTCGCTTTATATCTTGGTGACCGAAGATAGTTGGGGCAACACTATCAACAAGTTTATTGAAGAAATCCGGGGTGTTCCTCATTCTTTGCACTTCATCCAGCTCTTCCGACTGCCAACATAATAATACAAGCAAACCATGGAATTAGCTCTTTCTTCTTCACTTCAGTAGCAAAATGAGCCACGATTTGAGATTAAAGAAAGATGGAAAGCATTTAAGTATTCTAGAAAGTACCAAGATTTCTGCAAGTAACTAAAATTCTGTAGAGTGTTGACAGCACATACAAGGTGCAAACTAAGGCATGCAATTGCAATATCCCCTTTTTTATAGTTCAATCGGTCAATGTTGCAGATACAACAGATTAGAAAGCATACATGTGAACATGAAAGAAATCCTACCGGTTTTTTTTTTTTTTTTTTTTTTTTTTTTATTGAGGCACAAATTCTTTTAAGTTATTCTACAAGTAGATGATACAATACAAAACCGTCATGTAGTGTGCTACAAGTAGATGAGGAAGCGCCAGTGAAAATATTCAGTGAATGAAAGGGAAAAAAAAAGGAATCAACAGGACAGCTACAGTAGTTTTAAAAAGGAATCAAATAAAAGTTCGTTAGTTCCTTGGGTTACAGGCTTGGTCTAGTTTAGTGGTTGATTGGAAATGTTGCAACATCAATGAAAAATTTAATGAGTCACAATAACTACATCCGAGATTACGAAATAAAATAAAAATAGTACAGATAGCAGATCGTGAACTAACAGTGAATTGCTGGTTCTCATCTTCATCCGCATCCTTCTTTCTATTCCTGATGTCGATGTCCCTTCTACCATCACAAATCTGAACAATAATCAAATATGAGAAACAGATAATGGAGAGACACTCATCATACAATAGCTTGAGAGTTTAGTGGGATTCAAGTTTAAACGAAAAGGCAATTAAGGACCAACCTGAACTGAATTGGCAATAAATGCAAGACGATAAGAGAGATCTCTCACTCCTAATGCTCGAAGTCCGCTCAAACCTTCATTTCCAGCCATTGAATTCCTCTGCTGAGGACCTTCACGGCGGCATTCTGCTCTCTCACCAGGGGAGGCCAATGCCATTACATCGGGTATCACAACCACAGTGCCCGTGAACATGACCCTGTAAAGTACATATTACAAACCAACAGAAAATAATCCAGTTTAGCTAAAACTCAAAACTGAACAGGATCATTTAAGAATTCAGTTTGACTTTTATCTTACGTGTCGCCTGCCCTGGCCTTTTCCACAATCTCATGGCGGAGAATAACGTCCAAGGATCTGGGAAGGGAACCAGCAGGTATCTCCTTGGAAATCTCCTGCATCCGTACCCTCTGCCAGTCTGCGAATTTGCTCTCCTGCTACTTTGCTCTATTGGCGCAGGTTGCGTTCACACATATTGTCGGCTGTGACAGAAAAAACAGAATCAATTAAGCAAAAGTATAGTAAATGAGAATCAAGCCACAAAAGGGAAAAAAAAGAATCAAGCCACACATGTATATGTCAGTAGAAAGAACTACTTAGTATACTATGTCCAAGATAAATACCTGTGTGTACTTAAATTGCTGTTCAACGTTCTTTATAACTCCTCCGCATTCCAAGCACTTGAAAGTCCCTTGGAGAAGCTCTGGGCGAACCTCACTCGTGCGAGTCACCACTCCAGTCACAGAGACTAGTTTACCAATCTCAGCGGTTTTTAGTTCCCTCAGCCTGTAATTAGAGTTGTAAACCAGTTGAAAAGCTCACGCACTTTAAGTCAATCAGATATGATTTAGGATAGGAAAATGAGATTTTTCCATGTTCCACCAGCTGAAAGGCACTAAATAAAACTAAAAGGGTAATGAAAGAATATGAGCACCCAAATTTGATAAAAATTGAGTTGAAATTTCATAACATACCAAAAATTGAGTACATATCTCTAAATTATTGGGGATAGTCTGAATTACAAGTATAAACTGAGTATTGGCAATCTCTCTTCCTGTACTAGTAAAGCTAACTCGTTATAAGCAGCTTCAATTGGGTTCAATTCGAGATTTTCCAAACCAAGTTGAGAGCCAAGGGAAGAAAATGGAAGAAACTAACACCAAAGACCTGAGAAAATCCACTAATTAAGACAATAAAACCCAGGAAAAGGTAACCCAATTGAAGAAAAATGACTCTAAAAGAAACAAAAATTAACACCCAAAACCCGAGAAAATCCAGAGTTCGCAGAATGTAACTCATTACGAAAAAGGTTCACACATTAAAGTTTCGAATTTATCTCCAATTCACTAGGAATAGCCTCTATTACGAACAGAAACTTGGTATTGACAAAATCCCTTCCTCTAATAAATAGGTCAAAATTATCACGATTGAGAATTTCATCAATTAGGCACCAAAAGAAGAAAACGAAAAGGAAGAAAGGAAGAGTAAATGGACGGACCTCTTGCAGACGGGAAGGTTGAAGAAGGCGAGGTTAATGTCCTTGTTAGGGTTGTCGTCGGAGATGAAAGTCGGCTTCTGATCCATGACGAACCTCTTACAGGCGTTCTTCAGGTATGGCTCGAACCTAAAGAATTCATCGGAGATTGCCTTCTGGAGAATGTTGCTGAACGACATCAAGTGAGAGAAGTCCACGAACACGGTGTTCGACTCGCTCGATCTCATGGCCTCGATCTCCGCTTCGTAAAACAACTCGCCCGACACCCTATAACTGTCACCATTTTCCGCCATTGAAATCGCCCAATCGGAAGATCATCAGACAACGAATCACACAAAACAAAACAAAACAAAAAAGAAAAAGAAATCGAAATCAATGGAAAAGAAAACGAACCTCTTGAGGAAGTCCAGGAAACTGTTCTCGACTCGCACGGCCTTCTCGTCCAGCATGTATCCTCCGCTCCCGTAGGCCTCCATGGTTCTACTGCTTCTTCGTCTTCTTCGTGGGTATCTTTTTGTTAGGGTTTGAAAGTTTAACTCGGAAGAGCGAGACCGAGAACTGTCCGGTGGGATTTTCACTTCGTAGTCTCTTTTTTCTTGGCGGGAAATCTTAGGATGTTTCCCGCCAAAACCAGGGCTTCTGAGGGCTCCCGCCCTTTTCTGGTTACGGGCACTTTTCTATGCACTTGTTGGGCTTGGGCTTTTTGGTCCGTAGAATCAGAAGGCCCATTTGGATGTACATGGCCCCCTATTTACAAAAGCGAAATTAGAAAGGGTGAATGAGCGAAATCGTATTTGTGCAATTGATTAATTATTAATGAAATTTTCTCTCTCTCTGTTTCTCTCCGATTAAGAAAGGCAATGATATTTTAGATGCAATGGTAGGGTTTGACTCTTTTCATAGCTGGTATGCACTAACACTCTAATGAAAACGTACAGTTTAAACGAATATTACACATACATAAACAAGTAAAATATGTATGTAAAATTATTTTAGTGGGCAAATTAGACATAAAATTAATTAAGTGGTACATATGAAAAATAATAGCTGAAAGAGTTGCGCCAAAAATGCTTAAATTGAGACACATTTAAGAAACATTATCTCAGCGAGAACAAATAAGAAAATAAGCATTTATAAGAAAATAAAGTTGAAAAGGTTGTGTGAAAAAACTGTTAAAAAGAGATAAGTTTGTGGAAAAAATTATTTTAGTATGCTATATATAATAATGAACAAATTTATTTATAAGAATCACTTAGGACATAATAAAGAGTAGTCGGAAAAAAGTTAAGTAGAGACACATTTAAAAATTTATTTTAGTATGAAAAATGAAGAGTGTTTTTTTAGCAACTCAAAATTTTTTATGTGAGAAAAAACATTACAACAAAAAAGTTGAATTTAAATTTTTATGAGAGAAAATACTGTAGCAAAAAAACCTGAATTGTGATTTAAGTTGTGAAAAGAACGGGGCCTGAGATTATAATTATGATATGAAAAATAGAAAGTTACTGACTTAACCTTAGAAGTGCATGAGTATAGATTTTTACACGTTACTTTTGATTAATACCTTTTTGATGTATTTGATTAAAAAATGTATGATCTATAATAAAGACTAAAAAGTAAGATACATACAATTTAAGGGGTTATTTATCTCTTTTTCCCTATAAAAAAAAACTATTAAAAAGAGACAATGTTGAAGAAATAAATTGTTTTAGTGTACTATAGTCCAATTAGGGAAAATTTTATTTCTAAGATTCCCTTGGGACGTAATAAAGATTAGTTAGGAAAAACTTAAGTAGAGTCACATTTGAAAATTAATTTTAGTATAAGAAAGTAAGAAAAAATTAATAGAGGCACATTGAAAAGAATTACACTGTAAAGTTGTTTTTAGTAAAAATGAAAAAAGAATAAATAACGATACATTTAAAATAAATTATTTGAATAGAAGTTAAGTGAGTAAAAAAGTATTTCAATAAAGCGTGGGATTTTTGGCAAAAGTAATGAAAAAGGCAGAAAAGAAAGGAATAGGAAAATAAAAGGTCGAAAAAAAGAGAATCATAAAAAGTAAAACAAAAAAAGAAAAAAAATTAAGATGGTGTGACACGCGGCAAGTTGAGGAAAGTGCATGGAAAGGGACTTTACTTCTGTAATGTATGTTAAGATGAGATTAAAATTATATATATATGTGTGTGTGTGTGTGTGAGTTAAAATTAAGATGTTAAGATAAGAATAAATTTAAGATTAAGATCATATAAGATAAGAAAAGAAATCAAGTCGACAAGTAAATGTTTAAAAAATAATACATTCAAAAAAATGTTTTAATGTGCCAATTAGATTTAAAAAAAAGGACCTTCTCTGATAGGCCGGTCTATCAGTAGTCTTAATTTTTTATCATTAAATAGGGTTAAAATCATATCAGATTGAAAAAATATGCATAACTCACAGATTCTGATATAGATTTAACGGCTTAAAAATAAAGAATTATCGATAAGTTATTTTTACAAAGACTACCATAAAAACTCCTTAAAAAAAGTTTATAAGGATAACTTTTTAATATATAGAAATTGCACATAAAATAATAAATAGGAACGCATTTGAAGAAATTGCACCATGAGAAATTGCACATAAATGAGAACACATGTAAAATAAACTATTTTCATATAAGTAAATGGGGGAAAATATTTTTAAAATGAAAAAAAATATTAAACTATAAAGAAACATTAAAAAAATCAAACATTTTAAAAAATAATAAAACACAAAAAGCAAAGAAAGTAAAAAGAAAAAAAGGAAAAAAAATGATAAAGTAAGAAATTAACACGCGGTAGTGAAAAAAACACGATAAAAAAGAGACTCGCCTCTTTTACATATGTTAATAGATAGATTAATAGATTAATATATAATAAATAGATTAAAGCAATACCACTTCAAGCGAGTTGGATCTAGATATACAATTGTTACGGAACATTTAAGCCTAATTTTTATATCAAAGTAATATGGGTTAATAACTAATTTTTATATAAGTATTTTCCAAAAACTTTAGACAAATCAATTGTGCGTGCATCCTAAGTTTAAATGAGAAATTTAAATTTTGTGAAAAAAAATAATATAATAAAAAAGTTTAAATAGTAATTTATACATACGAAATAAACGCATGGCAAGTGATTTTTTTCTCCCTACGAAATAGAAGTGAAGTCCCACTACCATTTTCTTTCCCTCCAATTTTCACAGCTACCAAACACACTCGGAAGACTAGAGATTATGAGAAGCCCTGTTTGGAAGCAAGGATAGTGGACTAATCAGGCCAGGATATTTCATAGTCCCTCAATGCAACGCTCTGGCTTAGCTTAGGCCAGCTAAGCCTAACACACAAACACACAAGAAACGCATGCATCGTAGGACGAACACGTGGCAAAGACCCACATGAACAAAAACCGAAAAGGCAAACACTTGGCGTACACTTTTCATCCATGGAATCCAAATTTCATGTATGGCAATGGCAGGCAATTAATGCAAAGCAAAATGTGTATTTGGTTTGTGGACTGAGACTCAGTGCATGAGGAGGGGCATTAGTGAGCAGTCAAAGTGGCCGTTCCAAATTCCCATTCTGTGTACTTTTTGAAAATTTGCACAAAATCCCAACTCCTAAATTTTGCTACCCTCCAAAACCGAAAAAAGAAAAAAAAAATAGAAAATCAAAAATTCCCAAATTAATTTGCATATGTAAATCCCAACTCTCTCCACCAACCCCCTTTGTCCTCATCTCAAACAAAAAAGAAAAAGAAAAAGAATAAGAAAACCCCTTTATCCTCATTAACTCTCTCCACACTTTCTCAAAAAGCTTGAATGTTACCTACTTAATTACACTATAATCCTTTCCTTCTCTTCTTTCATTTAATGACCTACCAATTAGTTACTCCTTTACCCTTTTTGAATAAGAGAAGATATCCACATCAAGTTCATCACTCAATCTCAATGGGGCTCATTTCATTCACCACATCTTCACTGCAAAATCAAACGCCGTAATAAGCCATTTGATAAACCGGCCCCATTGTCTGAATGTTCATATTCCTATCCTTGGTGTAAAGAGTACGTCACTTTTTTATTTCTTTTTTCTTTTAGTATAAATTGATCAAGAGAATAATCAAGGAATGGCATTATTCACTCACAAATCACAATCATTGGATTTGGGTCGTCCTCTCTGCTCCTAAGTCCTACCCCACTTCTCTACCTGCATAGTATCACATCCGTCCGTCACTAGAGAGAGAGAGAGAGAGAGAGAAAGAGAGAAGAAACAAAGTGAGAGAGAATCAAATCGTCTTCTCATTTTCAAACCCCTCCTTTAAATTTTTTTTTCCTCCCTTTTCTTTTTCCTTTTCCCCTTTTATAATCTCAACCAAAAACATTAGTTATGGAAACCAAATCCCCAAATCCCCCCGGAAACCACCAGCCCCACCGCTCTATACCCATCAACATCGACCACAACAATACGCATAATAATCTCCAAAACCAATGCTCTCTATCCCAAAACCAATCTTCTTCTTCTTCTTCTTCTTCTTCATTTGTCACAATCAACAAGCACAATAATAGTAACTATTTCCCTCTCTTGGTGATCAACTTCATTTTCCTCTTTGTGGGTTCCGTTTCTTCAAGTTTGCTCTCCAAGTACTATTTCATCCACAAAGGCTCAAGCATATGGGTCTCAACGTGGGTCCAATCCGCCGGATTCCCTCTCCTTTTCCTCCCCATTTTCCTTCCATATTACCTTCTCAAATCCACCCAAAGAAAGCCTTTCTGTCGCTTCACCCCAAGACTCTTCCTTCTCTCTCTCCTCATCGGCCTTCTCTTAGGCCTTAACAACCTCCTCTTCTCATGGGGAAACTCCTATCTGCCCGTCTCAACCTCGTCCCTTCTTTTATCCTCCCAATTAGCCTTCACCCTTATCCTTTCCGTCATAATTGTCAAACAAAAAATCACTTTCTCAAACCTCAACTGCGTTGTTCTTCTAGTCACGAGCTCATTTCTCTTGGCCTTAGGCTCAAGCCATGACAAGCCACAAGGCCTGACCAAATCCAAGTACTTTCTAGGGTTTGCCTCGACCGTTGGGGCGGGCTTGCTGTTTGCTCTCTACTTGCCCGTCATGGAGATGATATACCGCAAGGTCTACTGCTACGCCATGGTGGTGGAAATGCAGCTTCTGATGGAGGTCGCCGCCACCGCCCTCGCCACCATAGGGATGGCGGTGGACGGCGGGTTCTCGGCGATGAGGGAGGAGAGCCTGAGGGTTTTCGATAAGGGCCCCGCGGGGTATTGGGCCGCGGTTTTTTCGAACGTGGTGACGTGGCAGCTTTGCTTTTTGGGGACCGCCGGGATGGTGTTCATGACGACGTCGTTGACGGGCGGCATTTGCATGACGGCGCTGATGGCCATGAACGTGCTGGGAGGAGTGGTGGTGTATGGCGATAAGTTTGGAGGTGTGAAGGCCGTGTCCACTGCGCTCACTTTATGGGGCTTTTGTTCCTACGTGTATGGCATGTACATTAAAATGAAAGAGGAGAAAAATGACACCATCATCAACAACAACGGCAACTTTCATGATCATCATGATCATCACACCAATGCTAGCCGCCAAGGCATGGAAATGGCTCCTATGGTAGACATCAATGATCGCGTCTGATAATAGATTAGAATCATTAGATTAATTAATACTTGTATTGTTGTAATGTTTATGATCAATCTCGAACATATACTACAACAACAATAACAACAAGCCTTAATTCCAACTTAATTGGGATCGGCTATATAGATTTCACTTTTCCGCGCAATTCTGTTCGAAATTAGACTTTTCTGAAGGCCTAGATCTAGACTGTTAATCTCGAACATATATTATAATAAATTATTAACGTGTTAGTATTGTTACATGATAATCGAATTTAGATAGTAATTTTGGAAAAATCCATCGCATAAAATTATGTAACATGAGGACTAACTAATATCAATGTGCCTAGTGAATGGTAATTATGAAATGTGTTAGTAAGTGGTAATGAATAATGCGAGTTTTCCACTGATTAATTCATATGTATGCGCTGTAAATAACTTTGTTTTGATTAGGAATTCGGATGAGGTTGATGGGGCATTTTAAGGGGTTTTGGAAAATTTTGGAGTTTGAAATCATTGTTGTGCTTAACAATGAACATCGTGACCATTTTTGGCTGTCATTATCGTTTTGTCTCTTCGAGTAATATCACTTAATGGACGTGGTTGATTATTATCCATTTGATGGACATGATTTGTAAATATATTATATGTACCAAAGTAAATTTCCTTTTGCGTCTGGTTGGATACTTATTATATAGTGTCAGCTACTTAATTGATTGCTAAAATAATCTAGAGACAAAGCTGCTTACTTTAATTATGGAAATCTTATCTAATGATACATTGAAATGATAGATAGAAAAGTTTTGAAGATGAGACGACAATGGTGCCAAGCTTCTATGGATATCTATAGTAGGGTCGGTAATATTGGTCACGACACGACGACTCGAAAATGACACGAATTTTTCGGGTTAAGATTGAGAAAAAAAAGGTTCGTGCCAGAAATAGATCGACCTGACGGTCACGACACGACGACTTAAAAATGACACGAATTTTTTGGGTTAAGATTGAGAAAAAAAAGGTTCGTGCCAGAAATAGATCGACCTGAAATTGACAAAAAAAATACGGGTCCATTTCGGGTTGGACCTGTCTACCCCAAATACGACACGAAACTCGTAAAAAACTAAAAAATATATATTTTCCATTACATATTTCAGATTTTATTATAAACTTGTGATATCATGATAGTTATACTCAAAATTTTATACTATTATTTGCTTAATTTTGAGAGATGTTATTGTATTTTAGTGTGTTATGAATTTTAAGTTATTTCTAATATGTAAAAAATTAAAGAAAAGTATATAAATTTCATGTCAATTTCGGGTTCACGGTCAATTTCGTGTCACAGGTCATTTTCGTATCGTGTCGTGTTAACCCGTAAAGTGGTTGTGTCATGTTCGTGTTACGATTTTTAAAAAATTGTGTCACGGGTCATGTTCGGATTGACTGTAAATTTTAAAAAAATAATTAAAATACGACACATGACACAAATTACTACCTCTAATCTATACTACAAAAAGTGATGAATAGAGTCATTTGTTTTGTTTTAAGTACGAGACAAAAAAAATTGTCTTTTTCTTTTCCTTTATCAGGTTAAAAAGAGTTTATTTTAAACATTATAAGCTAGTTATCATGATTAATTGATCACTGTCGAACTTGTTTGGATCCACGCACAGTTCTTTTTGGCCTATTGAGGAAAATTTTGCTTTGCAGTACTACTTTTTTAGTAGACATGACTTTTGCTATCACTCTTTAGCAACTTTTTAGGGTGGTTTTGTTGTATCTCAGTTCCTTTATTTTTTTCAACATTGATTTCGTCGTTTATGTGAAAATTTTTATCCTGTGATCATTTGGAATATTGCAATTTTAATTATTAAAGGACGAAGAATTATATGTGTTGAATGTAATTGTGAACCATACAAATTAAGAAAGTACGGTCAGCAAGCATTATTATATTTATTATAAAAATTCTCGTAAGAATAGGTAATTTGTTAGGAGAAGTGGTAAACGGTTTTGTTTCTAGACTTACACGTACAATATATATAACGCCACTAATTCCATTCTTTTTCTTCTGTTTTTTTTTTTTTCGGTATTGATAGTTTATCCAATTAAGAGCAGGGTCTCATGAAACTTAAGTAATATCAATTAAATTTTCATTTATCTATTTATTTTTCTCTACTGCATAATAGGTTTATTCTCTAGTCCTGCAGTTAGGGGTGACACAAGCGAGTATTTTCCGCGCAGCTTATTATGAAAAAGTGATTAAATTAAATTAACAAATTAGACAAGTCTTTGGTGGAAGGTACGTATACACACATATATATATATACACACATATATGCTTAATAGGCTATATAAACTTTTGACGTACAGAACGATCGAGGAAAAAAAAAAAAAAAGATGGTGGGAGATCTTTATATGAGAGCACGCCGGATTATATAATATACGATCTAATTATAGACAAAAAGTGTGACACATGCTTGCTCTTGAACTTTCATATATATATATATATATATAATTTTTTAAATAACCAGGCTCTGCTAATGTAATTGGCTGTATAAAAGGGTTTTGCCTGTTGGTCGAGGCTGATTTGGCTCATGGGTCTTCCACTTTGCAAAAGAGACAATTGCTTACACAGTGATATTGAGCTGTGATCCTTCCATTATCCAAATATATATATATATATATATATATACACACACACATTCTAAGAATTTTATTAACTAATAACCGAAACATATATATATATATATAAGGAAATTATATTCAAATTAGAAATAGAGCCATGAAAACATAAAAAATTGCTTTTAAGATACACCAATCCCATGAATTTTATAAATAGCAAGATTATACAATTCATTACAACACTCTAAAACTGTGTATCAATAGGCACATTTACTACAAACAAATTTACTCTGAAACAGTGTGCTTTATATTTAATACGTTATTTTTATTTCAGATTGTTAATATAGGACTTTTGACTTTTAAACATTTCATAAATATATATTATAAATTCCAAACATGCATGTCCATGCATACTAGCTACATATGTGTGCGAAACGATAGGGATGAATTTTTCATTGTAATTTCATTACATATGCATACATATTTATGTTATTATTCATTTGGTGAAAATATAAATTGTTACTATTGTTAATTAAGAACATAAAATTATCAGCCGAGGTTTTATTTTTGAGGTTTTTCTGCTGTAAGAAATATACTTATCGATGCGTTTATTTGTGATTGTGATATCAAAATCTGAAATAACTAAATCAAATTATTGGAAGTCAAATAACTCGAGCAACAATATTTAGTACGAACACAATCTCAAACCCGCTTAGAATCCCTATTTTGTGGGTTTTTCTTTTTCCTTTTTTTTTTTTTATAGTTCTAGAAAGAGTATGTTTATACATGCGGAGATTTGATTGTAATTTTTTTTGAGACCATGGGTTAAGAGAAATACATAGAATTGATATAGACAAGCTAATATGACCAGAAAAATTGAACTATTGATAGCTTTCTATTATGAGTCCTTAAATTTTGTATCATAAACTGTATTTTTTTTTTATATTTTTTTTAGTTTGATGTGATTTTAACATATTCAACTGTTAAACAGAAACTTACCTGCTACAAAACTCTAAAAAAATAAAATAGTTAAATGTTGACTTTTTAGTGAGTTGATGTAGTGATAACGCGATACACTCAATTTATTGAATATTTTCTCTAATACTAAATATAGACAAATGATGCTTTACGAGGTGGCCTTTAATGGTGTACGTTTTTCCAACTTGTAAAGAATTAGATAGAGAGCCAAGTACACTTGAATCACTTCTACAAACTACACAATTGTATAGAACACATGATAATTAGATAAGTGCACCCCAATCTATCACAAACTACACCTCAGCCAAAATTAGACGTCGTAATGATTACTTTTAATCATATCCAATCCATAAACCGGAAAAAGATAAGGAAGGTGGCATAATTCATGTATGTATTATATATATTTCATTGGGAATCAAACAGTAGTCCACGATCAAGGAACCGTAAAGAATTTTCTGATATGACAGCGTGGACTTTTGTCGGTCTATTGCGCAAAAAAGGTGGGTTGTCCTCCTGTCTTTCTCTTAACTTTTCCTTTCAATTTTTCTCCGATCCACGTTGCCATCAGTCGAGCTAGCAAGGCAGTATAGGATTAGCCGCTACATATATATAATGCATGTATACGTGTACTCTCATACTAAGGAAGCTTCTATTATATATATATATATATATATATGTATATATATGAGTTATCTTTTAGAATTTTAGTTTAATGCTATATACTTGGTGGAGGTGAAAATTGGGAGGAAAGAAAAAATGGATGAGTTTTTTTTTTTTTTCAATAGAAAATAGAATGGTAAGTTGTTTAGTAGAAGCGAAAAGTAAAAAGAAAAAATTGAACAAAAAAAATGACCCTAGATTTCAGTTCTCACTATTTTTTTATCCCTCTAAAAGGGGAAAAAATACTCTTTTTTTTTTTTTTTTTTTTTTTTTTTCGCCTAACTATCAAAACTGACTTCCTCTCTCTCATTCACATTTTTTTTTTCCTTTCTCGTATGTTTTCTCCCCGTCCTTTTTTTCCTTTCAGCTTACAAAGGGTCGTCAATATTAAATAGTAATTGTTAAAAGTCGTCAACGATCGACGGAAAACTTTGTCATCAACAATCATCGCTGTAAATTCACATAACAGTTTTCATGTTGTCGTTGACTCGTTTTATTGCAAAGAAACAACACAGACTTCTCTTCATTAATTTCTAATTAGATAACTCTGATAATCTCTTAATTATACTTTTTCTTTTTGAACAAAAATAATCAACTATAAACAGCATTATACAAACTGTATAAATTTACATGACAAAAGTCAGACTCCTCGTTCGGATTTAGGCTGTTAATTACTATAACGACCTTCATTACTAAATGCATATGCAATTAGTGGCAATACATTTATTATTATTATTATTTCTTAGAGAACTTTTACCGGACAACTTCGAACGGTGATTAGTACGTCTTTGTCGAAAGTTGATAATTAACGAAAAAGTTTGTCATAATAGATGACGGCGGAAGCGTTGACATGATCCACAGTCACCGGTCCAAAAAACTATTTACGATATCAATTAGGAATTTGACAAGAAATGCCAAATAGGTCAAGCCTACTACTGTGGACGCCCAATTGACCACCTTTAAATTTGAAAGTACAACATCTCTCACTCACACATGGCGGACACAAAACATGCATCTTTCTTATCGTTGTATTCACTATTCCAATCATACTGTATTGATGAGTGATGCAATTGCCGAGGCATCTACAAAAAGAAAAGTCTGGGAGAATTGTACTACATCTTACCCAGATATAGACATCTCCTATGCTCCCAAACCCAATTAGTCACGTCGGTTTTAGCATCCCCAAACTTTCTCAATGATCTCTCCGAGCTATGCTATCACTTTTAGCTTTTCTGCATCGTTGCAAAGATGGTTTTTTTATTTTATTATATATATATAAAAATCGCAAAGCCAGTTAGTTATTTTTCACTACAAAAAACGGTGGATTTAACAATGCTCAATAAATGACGCTCGTCTAACAGTAGAGACACGTCCCTTTTCAATTTTAAGGGTTCGTGCTGCATATAAGACGATGGTTTCTAGTGAAACCGTCGTCTAAAGTCCTTAAAAAGACGGTAGTTTATTTAAAACCACCGTCTATGTTTTTGTAAATACCTTCACGAAAAGATGAAAGTTCTCTCTTTTTCTCTTCGGGAGATCATTTTTGTTCCCATACCCGCCTCCACCCTTATATGACACCTCTCTATTAGGGCGCGTACCCATATATATGGGTAATAATGTCATCCCTATCCAAGAGCAGGATGACGGGATTTGTAGGTTTAATTTTATATTAACATAACTACTGTTTCATTAGAGTATGGTTACTGTTTCATTAGAGTATGGTTTTGTCTTTTCGCATGTTAATTCTCATGCTGATTAATATTCTTTGCATTTTTAGCACGCAAAACGGTTAGATTTTATATTTTAAGAAAAATAAAGTAAAAATATGCACTTTGATTAAACAGAAAGATACTTTTGCGAATTATGAAGAACAAATATTGCAAGTTTTGTTTTACTTGCTTAGTTATGATCATTCTGACTTCCAATCTAACTTTCCTCTTTTTATTTAATTCTTAAACGAATCCACATTTAATATTCAAGACCATTAGACATTTGCTAATCATTACTCTTGAGCCCCTAATTAGAGAAAGGTAACTAGTAGACAAACATATACGTAAATCTCAGTGCCTTTACTAATCTCTATAAACAAACAAAGCAAATGTGCAAGCGAGCATAGGCTAGGGCGGCCCGTCAGGTTAATCAGTGTTAATTAATTATTTGTTATAGAATGATGAGCACGTTAAAAGTAGAAGAAGCCAATGATAATAAAAAGGCAAACACAATAAAAACTTGCATGTGTCTGCTAGCTTAATTAGTGGTGAAGTTTTAAATTAATGATTTTATTAATTAGTTGTATGTTTGGTGCTCTTTAGCCTTTTCTTTTTTGGATAATCCTTTCGCCTTTTGTTGCTGATCATAAGTTAAAAGAAATAAAGCAAAAAACACGAAAAAAAGGCAACACCCACTACTAATTATATATCGTTTGCTTCACCATGCATATATAAGATAGGATATAAATATTATCAAGAGTGGGTTGAGTTTTATATCTCCTACGACATCTTATGCATTAGAACTTGTCAGAACGTCCATTTAGTTAACACAAGTGATTCAGGCCGAACTCAAGTACTCAACAAACAGCTTTTGACAAGTAAATAGTAATACTCAAAGTTGATGCCCTTTAATTGACAACAAAATTTTGAGAAATGAAATGTTTTATTTTTCTGAAATAATTACTTAATTTTAGGGCCTTAGAATCTTCTTTATACATGATGATATAAACAAAAATTTGGTACTAACTAGGCACCACCTTATTTAGGAAATGTTTTGTACCATATAATATATAATTCGAAATTTCAAGTTTGTCTCTCAAAAAAATTATAACACCAATTCTATGTTATAGATACCACGGTCGCTAAAAATTTCTAATGCCAATATATTCTAAGTTACAGATACCACAGTCGCTAATTGATAACTAGAATGAATTAGACCAGCAGGATGGGAGCTGGGCAACCGAGGTTGTAGAGGCTGCATATTTAGGCTCCGTTTAGTTCGTTGATTCGAGTTTTTAATTCGAGTTGAAATGTGATTTTATGTGAGAGCTTTTTACTGTAACACTATTTTTAAAAGTTTTTTACTGTAATAAAACTCAAATTAGTAAAATGAACGTGGCCTGCTTTTTTCATCTCTTTAAATGGTTTGATTAATTTTCTACAATAATTTCGTTTATTAATGTATTTCTTTGTGCTTAAGTACATGATAGGATGGTAGAGGAAAGGAAAACTCAACTTATGCAAATCTGAGCTGCATGGAATGCATGCGCTAGGGTGAATGTCCAATTGATTGGACGGTCGTGAGCGTGTGAAGGATAACCTGGTCCGGTTTATTATTGCATTTGATTTTATCTTTTTGACTTTCAACTGGCCATCTGTCTGTTTATATATATATATATATATATTTTCAGAATCATTCTTAATTTACGTGTATTTTTTATAAAAAAAATACTATAATAAATAATAAATTATTATTTAAATCATGACACGAATTCTTAAATTAAAAACATCATTAATGATTAAAATCTAAAACTACCGATATTATAAGAGAAACTGGCAAACTAAAAAGTATGCTAGCTTGCTTGATAATCACAATAATGGTCAGGGTAAAGTACGCTAGCTTGCTTATATTGGTACGAATTTGAACTATTCTTTGACATGACTATGCATAGCCAATGTATCGGTATGAACTTCTTGCTGACACATGCTACACCCAAATAAAGGAAAGCGCACATGATCATATATATAAATTCAGATCGACAGGTTTTGTGCAGTACGTGGGAATCAAAGAGAAGGCCATGAATGAGTGATTTGATCGTTGAGTACAGCCAATAGTGTACATTTTATAAGTCATGTTAAGCGTGATATGTGGTGTTGAGAAAGCGGGAAACACAAAATAAAGAAAAAGATAAGAGGCAAATTTTGCAGTTCGTACATTATTCCCATGGCGGATCCAATTCGTCCGGCCAACGGCCAATAGTGGTGTGGAGGACGAATCCTTGTCAGATATATATATATATATATATATAAAAGAGAGAGATATTTGACGTTTCATGTATCTTTGCTAAAGGAAAGCTCTGTTTGGCTATCAAGAATTTGGCACCTAAAAACAGTGTTTACAATTGATCCCCTTTTTATTTTTCACATTTTCGAAAAAGAAAAAATGAAAACATTTTCAAAGCGTCGTTTGGCACGATAAAGACAAAAAATGAAAATAAAAATGATTTTTTAGTTTAGTGTAAAATAAAAGAGAAATGAAAAATAATTTTTAGTTATTTTTTATTTTTTATTTTTTATTTTTGTTTTTCTCCTCTCTATCAGAGAGAGAGAGAAAGAGAGAAAGAGATACGTTAATGAGTTTTTTTTACACTGAAAAAAAACTCTTGATAAAGCTACCAAATACATTTTTAAAAATGATTTATATCTGAGATTGAAAACGTTTTTATTTTTATTTTTATACAAAAAATAAAATCATTTTAAAACGAGTTCCAAACGCGCCTTCTGCCTCTCTTTATTTCACATGAAGCTCTTTAATGTATTCTGTGTTTGTACGTTTGCACTTGCAACAATAACCAAATCAGTCTTTCGATTTGTAAGATAGAACAGACCATTAAAGCCTTTTTGTTCACACAAACACTAAAAAGTAACCGTGTTACGATAAATTAATTAACATGTTACGATAATACAATAGTGTTAGAAAAATAAATAGAGCCATAAACAAAAGCCCCGGTAAAGAAACCAGCTGTTAAGTCATACAAGATAAACCGGCTGTTACTTTTTACTGAGCCCTTGAAATTCTATTAAGATTAGTTTCAGACTTTCACAACTTCCTTTTGATGGAAATGAAACAATTGAATTGTACAAACTACAAAGAACTAAAGAAAATTGTTGTTCTTTCGGTCAAGGCGTTTAGGGCGGGCTTGTCAAATATTACCTGATGGATTTTAGGACCCTAAACATACAGCCTACAGTGCATTACTTGCAACAAAAAAGGTGTTTCACCTTGTAAATGCTCATAAAAGGCATCTATGTTCTGTTATTGCAACCATTATTTAGTGCTGTAGAAAAATAGTTGGCATATTCAAACTCCTCCTCTGAACTTGATTCACTAGAATCAACTTCAAAATGGCACTCGTATTTCAATGGATCCTCTACCATATCATCTCTTCTAGTTTTCTTATACAAACCCTTGCTCTTGTCCAATAGCCCTTCTCTAAGCATGCGCGCGAATTTCTCCCTAATTTCCGAGAGTGAATGCCTCTGCAAAAGATTCTGACCATCATAGGCTTCTCTAAGAATGACAGTCTGAGTATCACATTTCTTTGATATGTAAAAAATACCGGGATGGCGCTCAAACACTTTAGTGAACTTCTGAGGAAGGGCCAGTGGCTTACGAAGGTTGCTCACATTTTTGCGCTCGGTTTTCTTTTGTATGGTGAGGTGAAGAAGTTCATGAAAGACTCCGACAATCCTCTTCTCGGATACATCAGTGCGTGGATCCAAATAGGAGGCCTCCGAGTATGGAGAAGTGTAGGGGAGCCTCTGCCACTCTTTTAGCCACTCCATGCATTTTCTTTTCAACCCAAAACCCCTCGTGAATCCGATTGGAAAGGCTAAGCAGTCATTCTTTGTGTCTTGTTGCTTTGGTTGCGATGCAGAATTCTTCAGCAATTCGGAGACAGCATGGTCATCGTCCCAGATGTTGAGCTTCAAGCCAACTCGTTTGTCAGGAAGTTGGACAAACGATAATAGATCAGGGTGACGAGGAATAAACGAATGCTGGTAATCGTATGGCAATCCAAAGTCCCATTTCAGCTGGTCTATGGTTTGTAAAGGAAGGGTCCAATCTCTGGTGAGCATGAGAAGTTTGCGGAGCCTATTGAGTAGATCCATCTCATTTTGCTCGACAAGGTGGAGCTCTTCCTCGTGTAGCTCTACAGCTTCGTGAGTTAAGCCAAAGCATGGGACACGAGTTCCTCCAGTGTCGAGAAAATGTGACTCAAGAAAAACTGAAGGGTATCTCCTAATAAAAGTGGAGAGCTTGAGATCTTTGGGAAGACCTAGCTGTCCACGATGACAGGAGAGATGATAAATAGGAAGGCGACGTTGAGGTGTGGAGGATATAATGGTAGCGAGAGTGCAGGCTGCTTTGAGATCTTTCTCAACTATCACAGCAGCATCTAGCGCCTTATCTTTCACCCATTTCAACTTTACGTTCACCAAACTACACTTCTGCTGATAACTAAATCCAGACTGAGATTTACATAGAAATCCAGAGCTTTCGACCTTACCGAACAGGAACCACCTAGCCATATTCTTTCAACACATATGTGCAGCATTCTCCAGTTTCAAAGCAATAATGGTTACAATAGATCTGTGAAAAGCCAATATCAACAATAGTGTTACTTAAATTGACACTCGAGCTCTATGTGTAACAGAAACTCTAAAATGATCCAATACAAAAATAAAAAAATCCTACGTGTGGGAAATAAATTGTAAGTTGCATGATGTTTAAAATTTATCTAGTGTTACTGAGGAGTACATTTCACTAACCTTTGGAACATAGGAGATTTTCATGGTCATCAAGAGAATGTTCATATTTCATAATAAGATACTTGCATGAAAAAAGTCATCCTCAACACAACTAGGTTCGAAATTTTAGTAAATTTCTTGTGGTTTTCGAATTTAGGGCATGTTTACAAACTTGTAATGGCATGTAATGAGAAAGGGAAAGGTCTACGGAATGGAAAAAAAGAAAAAACAAAGATGATCACTGATTCCCTTTGTACTTTGTAATGTTATTTACCTATTAGGAATTCAAAAGAGAGAAAAAAGGGGGGGAAAAGATTAAAAAAAAAAAAAAAAAAAAAAAAAAGAAAAAAAAAAAAAAAAAAAAAAAAAAAAAAAGAGCCCTTGCCCTGGAAGAGAGAGAGGGAGATAGATAGAAGGCTGAGGTTTCTGCAGTTTGCTCTACGTCTGGCTAAATGACAGTAAATGGCCTATCAGAAAACATTATTAAAAGGGAGAAAAAAGAGCATGAATACATAACATTCTGCCTAGTTCGTTATTATGCTTCTGTCATGTTTCAAATGTTCAGCTGGGTACTACTTCCAAAGCTAAACTTTCAAGAAATTTAATGCTCGAATTACTGCTCTCAAAAACAAGAATATATACATACTACATAAATACATGCATGCAATATATATATATATATATATGTACATATATACTTGGAGAAAATCATGATAAAAGAAAGAAACTGTTTGCGTGCATAACGAAGAAACTGTTTTTGGGTCTCTCCAGCATTCCGTCAAACAGTTTGTGTGCATAGCTCTCAGGATCCTTAAAGAAAAAGAATCACGCATTGAATGGAGAATATAAAGCCAGAATATCAATCAAAAAGAAGAAAAGCTAAAGAAGACGTAGAATCCAAACGTGATTTGCAGCCTCAAGAAGCTAAAAAGAAGAAAAAAAAATGAAGACTATGCAGAAGAAATGAATTAGATTTATATTAATACAGCTTTGTGTGTAAATTATTAAGACTTACTGTTATTTGTTTCTACGGAGGAGACGACAACGATTGGACCGGCGACGAGGAGTTGGGTGCGACGGCCAATGGTCTCCCTCGGCCACGCCTTTCGAGGATCGGCGTTAGATGGTGGCGCAGAGTTTTTTTTTTTTATTCATTTAAATAACTAAATTTTTTTATTTAAATAACAATAATTTATTCTTTTTATTTTTACTTTTAATTCATAATTTTTTTAATTAAATAATTACACTAATAAAAGAATATTTATTAAGAGTAAAGAATAAGGGTTTAGATTTATACACTTTAAAGAATAAATTCTTTATTTTTTAAAGAATTTACTCTTAAGAGTGCACAAATTTAAACATTTAAGTCTTACTTTTAATAAATCCTTTTTTATTAATGTAATTATTTAATTAAAAAAATTATAAATAAAAAATAAAGAATAAAAATTTTGATCTATATAATTTCAAATAGTTTTTATCAAGATTATCCTAATAACTAACAAAAGGCAAAGTAAAATAAAAATTTAAAATGAACTTTAGCAGACTTATGCTTCGTTCATTTCACCAATTTGAGTTTTCTATTTTAGATTTTTACAGTTAAAAACTCTCAGAAGATGTCACATCTAATTTTTTCTGTTACAGTGAAAAGCTATAAAAAATGTTACATCTCAGCTCGAATTAAAAACTCGAATCCACAAAGTGAACGAAATTAGCTCCGCTGAAGTCAAAGAAAAATATGAAAAATAATATGACATAGATGAAAAGGAATAGCGTTTACAGCCTTAGTTGAAATCAATAAACCGATTAGTAAGGCCTTGTTCATTTCACCGATTTAAGTTTTCAGTTTTAAGTTTCTATAGTAAAAAATTTTCAGAAAATGTCATATTTAATTTTTTCTGCTACAGTAAAAAGCTCTCACAAAATATAACATTTTAACTCAAATTGAAAATTCAAATCTGCGAAGTAAACAGATAAAACAGTAAAAGAGACAAAAGTAACCGGCAAAAATTAGGTTGCGTCAAAACATTTCCGTCACATCAGACCACTCAAATTTCTTGAGTTCCAATTTAAAAAAGAAAAGCTTAATTAAAAAAATAAATAAAAAAAGAGCGCAAATACATCTGGTTACACTTCTATGTCTCTGTTTAGTTTCAGGACATTACTGAGTACTCCTTTCAAAGCTTAACTTTCAAGAAATCAGATGCTTGAGTTGCTAGCCACAAAAGCAAGAATATATAAAAATACCTAGACATTTCTTAAAAGGAAAAAAAAAAAATTGATGATAGAGCTATAACAAGCAGCTTCAATGTTCTATTATGTTCTTATTGTAAGACCTTTTCCTTTCTGTTCATAAAGTTTCTGCTTATTAAATTAAATAAAGGCTTAAAGTTGCAAAATAGCATAATAATAGGAATCTTAAAGAGTTCTTCTCTAGGCTCCTATCCCAAGCTCCATAAGGGCTGTTACATATCTAGATGATCTCAACAATTTCGTTAATCCTGTTAATGCTCCATATATTTCCTCTGTTTCAGGATGCCTCTCATCTAGGGAATAGAACTCAACCACTGTACCATTTAGTTCAATCAAGCTGCATCCAGGAACCTTTTCAAATCCGGTGTCCCTCATCGCAACTTTCAGTCTTGCCACATCTTTCCATCTTCCGAGATCCCCATATACATTTGAGAGCATGACATAGTTTGCTGGGTTCTTCGGTTCAAGTACGACGAGCTGTTCAAGAGCCACTTCAGCTAATTCAATGTTTTTGTAAATCTTGCAAGCGCCAAGCAAGGCCGCCCAAATAACAGCATCTGCTTCCATGGGCATTTCCTTCACGAAGTTTACTGCCCGATCTAAAAGACCGGCTCGAGCCAACAGATCGACCACACAACCATAATGCTCAATTTGAGGCACAATCTGATACTCATCTACCATGGATTGGAAATATGACAAGCCGTCTTCAACTAACCCAAGATGTGTACAAGCACACAAAACGCCAATGAAGGTAATACCATCTGGTTTTTCTCCAGCATTCTTCATCTGACTAAACAAATTTAAGGCCTCAACCCCTCGTCCATGCATTGCCAAGCCATATATTATTGAGTTCCAAGTGATTAAGTCTTTCACATCCATGCTGCTAAACACATTAAGCGAATTTTCCATAATTCCACATTTTGCGTACATGTCAATCAACGCATTTCCAACATAAACATTTCCCTTATTCCCAATACTCTCTGCATACACATGAACCCACTCACCCAACTCAAGAGCGCCTAATCTTGCACACGCAGACAAGACATTCACTAGTGTGGCGTCATTTGGAAGCACATCACCCTCAACTAGCATCCTTTTGAAAGACCCTAGAAGTTCAAAGAAACACCCGTTGTGTGCATACCCTCCAATCAATGCATTCCAAGAGAAAATATTCCTCTCACGCATCTCCTCAAACAACCTCTCGCACGCTTTAATGTTTCCATTCCTTGCATAACCATTCAACATGGTATTCCAAGACATCACATCCCGGTTCGGCATCTCATCAAAGAGTTCTTGTGCACTCACCATATTCCCTAACTCAATATATCCTGAAATGACAGTGTTCCACAACACGACATCACGCTCAGTAGCCAAGTCAAAAAGTCTCCGTGCCGAAACCATATCACGACACAAGATGTACGCATTGATCATCGAAGTCCAAGCAAATACATTCCTTTCAGACATTTCAAGAAACACTTTATGAGCAGCTCCAATAAAACCCCCACCAGCATACATTTCGATCAACGTAGTACCCACGTACGGGTTTGCTCTAAAACCTCCCTTTATCAACTCACAATTTATCTCTTCACCTTCTACCAACGCATTAATCTTCCCACAAGATTTAATCACAACAGGAAAAGTGTAACAATTAGGCATTACGTCCAAGCTCTTCATTCTACAAAACAAGAGTATGACTTCTCTATGCCACTCATTTTTAGCGTAGCCCCTGAACATGGCATTCCACAGCGCAACATTTGGGTCAGGAATTTGATCAAACACCTTGTGGGCATGAGCCATGCGCTTTATCTTTGCACATGCTGTGACTATATTTGGTGTGATATAATCATTGTACTCAAGACCATGAGTGATTACCTGGGTTTGGATTTGGTAAAGGTGTTTTTGGGTCCTACATGATTGCAAGAGTGATATGAATTGTTCTTCGAGAAGCCTCTGAGGAGGCTTTTGCACTAGAAGATGCTGAAAAATCTTAGCTATTTTCACCAACTATCGAAAGCGAAGAAGATGCGTAGAGAAGCTTTCCCTTTTTTCAGGCTTTCTTGGAAACTTGAAATAATAATTTTCCAATTTCTCCTTTTGTTTACTTCTTAAGGAGTGCATCTGAGTGCATTGTATATTTGTATATGAGTGTAGGTAATTGTTGACGACTGATGAACCGATGGGGCGCGTAATAAAATTTTTGTTTTTTTTCTGGTCGATTCAAAATTTTAATTTAAATTAAAATATTTAAAAATGAGTTAGTTCGTTTAGTATGATGATTCAAATAAGAGTGATTTTAATTATAATTCTTAAACTAAAATTATGATTTATGATTTTAGGTTCAAATCATGATTTTGAAACTATGATTCAGAATCATGAGTTTGAATGACCTTGAATCAAAAGGGAGTGGTTTTAGAAGTATGATTTGAGCTAGTTTAAAACATCACATCAGATTCTAAATTATGATTTAGAATCATCCAAACCAAACACTGATTCTGAATCACTATAAACAAATACTGATTTTGAACCAGGATCTAAAATTATGATTCTGAATCCATCTACTAAACGCACTCTTGTTTTGTTCATGGATTAGAATTATGATATTAGAACTATTTTTAATTTACGTGTATTTTTTATGAAAAAAAACGTTATAGCAAACCATGAACTATGATTCGAATCATGGTACGAATTCTCTTACCAAATGTCATCGAATAACTCAAATCATGACTCAAATCATATTACCATAATATTTTCTTTTATAAAAATTTAAATTTTATTTTTTTATTATAATATTTTTATTTCATATATAACTTTAATCATAATTTAAATTATATAAAAAAATAAATTTTAAATTTTATGAAAATTTTTAACTATAATAAAAAAAATAAAATATAATTTTTTATAAAAATTTTAAACTGTAATACAATTAAAATTAAAAATTTAAATCTGATAGAGCCATTGACATTTTCAAATTTTATTAAAAATATTAGTAATAATTTAAAAAAACTACGCACTTCCCAAATAATACATAGCTATATTTATCTTTCATTTTTCTTTTTCTAAATGTCATTGCGTGAAATATAATACAAGCCATGTAATTACGAACTGCGACAAAACAATCGAAAAAATGGGCTCACAAATGCAAATCCTGCAACCACTGCCACTCCCATTCTCTTCTTCTTCCTCTCAGAGCTGCCCTGCACTCTTCCTCTTCCGCCATAGCCATCACCGTCTTCGACCTCTCTCTTCTTCTCGCATCCATGGCTTCCACTACAAAAGAAGACGCTCTTTCTCTCTCGCGGCCGCTGGGGAAGATAATGCGACAACCTCAACTTCCGCTTCGATTTCAACTTCCCCACAAGACGAAAAGCTCACCCAAGACGACCCTGACCCACAAGACCTCGAATACGTCCGCCAAATCAAAAGGGTCCGTTTCATTTTTTTTTCCTTTTCTATTCTGGTCATCAATTTCCGTACTTTTTTTCAATCTTTCTGGTATATACCAGGTGTTAGAGCTTCTCCGCAGGAACAGAGACATGCTCTTCAGTGAGGTACTCCTTTCATCTTTCTTTCTTTCTTTTTAGAATTAAATGCGTTTATGGGGGTTTCTTTTGTTTGTTTTTTATTTTGTTTAATATTTTGCAGGTGAAGTTGACTATTGCAATTGAAGACCCGCGAGACGTTGAGCGGAGGAGATTGCTTGGGATTGAAGACCAAGATGATGCTCCAACAAGGGATGATTTAGCTGCCGCTTTGGAAGAAGTAACTTTGCATTTTTTTTTTTTTTTGCTTTTCTATTTTTGATTTAATTCGCTTTAACTGATATTTAACTTATTACTAGTCCATAACGGACCCTGTGTACATTTTTCTAAGGTACTGATATTCATGAAAAGTAAATTTTGTGCTGGCTATTAATGGGACAAGTCTAGAGTAAGAATGGGTGCAAAAAACTCGAGTTCTTCTGAGTGGTTCTTACCAACTAGTAGAATAAGAATGTTTTGGTGTAAAAACCATTGTTGGCCCCTACTCTTATAAGCTTTAGTTGTTGATCAAGTTTTTGAAGAGCGCCTGCTTCAGCTGAAATCACTCATGAGAAATGCAAAGTAGCGGTCTTATAGTCATTTATGAACCTCTATGTTAAGCAGAGCGATTTTCTTGTCTAGGTTATCTTTATTGACCTGTGAATTTATGTAGTAATGTATATTATGCTTATATCCTTCATAAGTTACTAATATTATTTTCATTTCAACTATGAGAAGAGCAAGTAAGAAGGCTATCTTTCCTTTGACATATATGATATATAAACTGAACTAGAACTATGGCTAAAAAAAGGCTTTACGTAGTATTATGACTTGTGTGTCTGCCCCTTCTCTATCTTGACCATCATTCTTGTAGCATTTCCGAACACCATAGAAGAAAAGAACCTTCTCTTTCCTGTTTGGAAAATACTAGAACTATGATTTTTACTTGTTGAGATAGTCAATTTGATATTATTAATTTATTAGGTGAATAAAGGCAAAATCCCAAAAAATCGGGCTGCTCTTCGAATGCTTGCAGAAGAAATTATTCAATGGCCTAATCTAGAGGTATTGTTATTGTTTTCAGAATGAGTACTATGCATTTTTGTTTCTTTTTTTGGATAAGAAAAATGCTAAATTTACTGATGCAAACTTCTTTGGAGTTTCTTTTTCTATTTGTAATTTACTTTTCTGAAAGGTCTAATTAACCATGATTCTTCTCCACCATCCTTTTCTCTCATTTCTTTGTTCATTTTTTCTATTGGGCCTCTAAGAACGAAATTTCCATCTTCTGATCACAATTTAGAAGAGCAGACCAAGCTGTAGCTGTTTGCCTAAATTCAAGAGTACCATAGGCTCTCTTTTGGTCAACGGTTTTAAACTATCATAGTTAACCCTCTTCTTCACTAACACCCTTTAGTAAAGGTGAAACGTGGAAGGGAAGTAAAGAATGGAGGAATTTTTGATGAAAAAAATGAATTGTAGGTAGTTTGACAGAGAGAAAAGAGAAGTGAAAGAAAAATGAGGATAAAAAAGAACCTATGGGTCCCATCATTTTAATCCGCCCAAATGTAGAGAGAGTTTCAGAGAGAACTTGTTATCACACTTGCACAAATAGGAGAATTACATATTTTTCCTCATTTTCAAACCGAAATGATATTAATTAATTGGTAAAATAGTCACTTTATTGTCTATTTTCTTTTCTTTCTACGGTCTCAAACAAGGTAAAGGAAAAACAATATACTTCGGGATTTTCTTTTCTTTCTACAGTCTCAAACAAGGTAAAGGAAAAACTATATCCTTTCTCTCATCCATATTTCCAATCCTTTGGTTTTTTATCTTCTTACCAAACAAAGCGTAGGAGAACTCTATCTAGTTCCCTGCACATACACATCCCTGTTCTTTGTTCAGTTTATCGCTAAGAAAAGGAAGAAATCTGTAATAGTGAGAACCCAAGAATGAGATACAAGTACTTTTTGAATGGATTATAGACTTAGAGTAGGCCTCTGTGTACTTACCAAGCTAATAGCTTGGGTGTTTTCTCTTACTCAATGGGTCTTCTTGGGAAGTGGCTTCAAAAATAGTCTTGAATGGATGGAGCTTCTCGTGAAGATTCATAAAGCGTTCAAAGAGCAGTATGGGTATCCCCTAGTGTCGGTTTAGGAAAATATATTATGAGTAGATGGGATGAAAGTAAATAGTGTATTTTAGATTAGTCACGAGGTTGAGTCTTCGGCAGGATATGGTTGTAAACGTTTTACCTTATGCACGTCCGCTCTAATTTAACTTTGATAGCTTACGAGGAAGCTGACATGACTTACTGCGTAGTAGAAGAATCAAAAATGCTTTGGGGCTCCTAGTAGTTGGTGAAGCTGGCATGAAATAAAGGTGGGGCCCAGCCTTATAAGATGCGAGCCCCTGGCTCCAAGGAGTGTAATATCATTTCTTCTAAGGAATAGGTAGTCAGTGTGATCTTCCATTTCCAGGTGAGGGATCGGGAGAAAGAATGGTTTGTTGTACTCTATAGTAAAGAATGGTTTGTTGTACTCTATAGTCTATGGTGGCTAGATTTATGACTAAGACTTTAGGCTATGTGGACTTTGATAAAAGAATCCCCTTTGAAGCCAAAAGTCAAGTGTGCGACTAAAAGAATATTTGATGTGGAAGAGGAAATAATTCATTAGAAACTCTGACTGAAATAAACAAAAGAAGTTGAAAGTCAAGTAAGAACTTGGGCAGTAGAAGGTGATATTTGAGTGATACTGAATATTCAATATAAAATTCATAGGTGGATACCCCCCCCCCCCCCCCCACCCCCCCCCCAAACCCTCTTCTTTTATGATTAAGCGAAACTTGTTCCTTTACTTTTTCTTTGTAAGCAAAAACTTTTGTTTTTTAAACGAATGTCGAGATTACGGATTAAATAAATGTTGAATTAGGGAAATTTGATGAGTTTTTTTTTTTTTTTTTTTTTTTTCTTTTCTTTTTTGGTTGTCTACCAATAAATATGCAAGCCTGAAGGATATAAAGGTGAAGCATGTTTTGAAGTAAAACTTTTGCATTTCCAAAGAGTTGAATAATATAATTGGTTGGTGTAAGGAGCTCAAAGTGTTATGGGTTCAAAATAATATTTTTCTAGGAGCAACAAAGTCAAAGAAGATTTTTTCTTTGCTCGGATCACAGTGGAAGTTTTGAAGTGCTAGGAGTGAAGGATTCAATAAACGGGCTTGCCTCTAGTTGGATTTGTCATCAGGACACCCAAAATATAATAACAACTACAATCTAGGCAGCTCTATTTTGGCTAACAACATATTATAGTCCATTAATTTCCTAAAGGGGCAGACTTTGATTGGTCCTAATTTTAATGCGGAGTTCAATTTGACAGGGAAAAAGTTTGAGATCTGCTTTTCGTAGCTCTTTGGACAAGATAAGCATATTCTTTCTGGAATATGTTATTTTATAGGAGGGTTGGCATAGTATTAAATCCGGTGTCAACTCTCAGAGCAAATATATATATATATATATATATATATGTTGTCACGGTCACTGCCATGATTGACTGTTTTTATTAGGATTTAATAATTTGTTTTCTGTCTATATAGTAGGCCCTTATGCAGTATTTTCTCACAGGGAGACATATTGGCTTAGCATGCGTAGAATTTTTTTCCCCCTTCTTAGATGGCCAGAGTGTGAAAAGAAGGGGCAAAAAAGCAAGAAATAAAAAGATAAGAAGACGATAGATAACATTTTAAATTCACGTCCATAATGACAGCTTCAAGCTTATCTAATTGGCTTAAGAGCTTTTACTGATTCATAGCGTCATACCTGATTAGAAGATGATAAAAACATTAGAATTTGTACCGCGGTTTGATAAGCCTTTCTGCCTTTGCATGACAGATATTGCATGTTAAGCAGCGTGTTTGCCCATTGTCAACGAATATGTAAAGTCTACTGACAGAATGTCCATAACCCCTGTCAAAAGTGCATATCCTTGTTTGCAGCAAGTTTACTTTTCAAATGAGTAGGCAGTAGCTACTAATTTGTTAATGCCCTTTTTTCCCTGCATTTTCTTGTTTAGGCTGAAGCAACAAAGAAAAAGCCTAGCAAATCCCTCTATGCAAGAGCCACAGACACCGGAGTCGATCCTCGAGTGGCTGCAAAAAGACTGAACATTGATTGGGATACAGCGGCTGAGTTCGAAGATACTGACACCAAGGATGAGAGCGAAGTGCCTCCAGTCGTGGTTGGTTAGCTATACATTTCTCTTCAAAACTTAGATTGTTTCACTTTTGCAAGGACAAGAATAGGCGAATGGTACAATGTATTTTTACTGCTAAGTCTTTTGCAATCAATAAATAACTAACACACTCGCACACAATACAGTCTCCATAATCCTAATCTTAAAGTAATATAAGTACTATATCTGGTACGAACCTTGGTTTCATTCGATTCATGAAGTAATAGCTATTAAACTGCCTTTGTTGGAAACTTGGAATTTGTTCTTTTTAAATGGCACGTTTATGTCATAAAAATGTATACATATATATATATATATATATATATATATATTTATAAGAATGACAGGAGTATTCAGAATCCTCCTTGTAATTAATACTGTGAGTAAACTTATGATGAGGCTGTTAAGTATGCTTCTCTCTCTTGCAGGGTTATGGTGCACTGTATTTAGTTACGGCTTTTCCAGTCATCATTGGTATCTCAGTTGTATTGATTTTGTTTTATAATTCCCTTCAGTAGAAATTAACCATTTAACTACAATGTACAATCTATGCCTCAGAGTGGATCCATTACTGTTATTCTTCTCTGCTAGAGTTTGTATATCTCAATCATGAATATGAATGATTTGTTTTTTTTTATTTTTTTTTTGTTTTTGTTTTTTTTTGTTTTTGCTATAATGCAAATTTTGTATTTTCGCCTTATTTTTCTCTCCCTCCCTTAATCCCCAAAGAGAAAAGGACAAAGAAGCCTTTTTTTTTTTTTGGTGAATAAAGGGCTCAATTATTGTCACGACTTGGTAGTTTGGTGTCTTTTATTTGTCCTTTAATTAATCACATTGTCTTCTATTTATCACTTAAAAGTTAAAAGTTTTCTTTCACATTCTTGCATGCCTGCATGTAACAAATTATATATATAAAGTGTTGAAGCGTGCACATCAGACCTTAATTTACTCTATTATATGTTTCTTGGGAAGTTTGGCCGCTCTTAGACGTGCTGAGGAGAAATGTCAACTCTCACTAGAATGGAAAAACCAATTAAAGAATTATCACCTCGTGGCTTGGCAATTAACTTCTCTCATGAAAAAAAAAAAAAAAAAGAAAACCCATTGTATGTTCTCCTTAAAAGAACATGGTTAACACTACTAGGTTGGTGTTGGTGGGAAAATGTAGGCCACGTTTTCTTTCACTTGGGTCTTCCTCATTTTAAATAGTTCAAATCCCTCTAACCATTTTTTGTACTATTCCCATTTCAATTCATTACCGTCTCCTCTCCATGGCTCCTCCACTTTCAGATGCTTCTTTTCTTGCCACAAACAAGAGCAACCACAAACCAGATTATGAAATCGACCACAATGATGTTTCCGATACCTTAGGAGAGATGTCCGAAAAGGTCCAAGAGTTGAGATTCTCGGCGAATAATGAGAGCCTGCAAAAGGAAAAGCAGATCTCCATTGACCCAATTTCACTAAGGGAGTTGCCTCCTGTTGTTGTCACAGCTCCAAAAGGCACTGGATTGTTGCAGTTGCCGCCTTCACTTCTTCCCAGAAAACCCAAGTTTCTGAGCTACAGCCTTCCAAACTCGGCCAATTCGTCACCCAGGTTCAGCACGTCTCTGTTGAAGAAGTTGAAGAACGAAAGCCAAGGTCAATCCTCTCCTCTTCAACACGAGGCTAATCTGGGGGCGCAAAGAACTGAGGAACACAAGCAGCTGAATCTGCCATTAGAATATTACTTGAGGAGGAGCAAGTCATGTGGGGAAGGAAGATCGTTTGCTCCATCGGAAGACTTCGATCTTTGGCTGAACAAATCGGATTTTGCTAATTATCAACTCGACGACAAGAAGCACTGCAATAGTTTCGCCAGACCTGATCAGATGAACAACAAAGCCAAGCATCAGAACTACCACAAGAACAACAACAAAGACAGCAACATGGATCTTTCTTCCAATGATGGGTTCAAATGTGGCGCTTTGTGCTTGTTCTTACCAGGATTCGGTAAGGCAAAGCCGGTGAGAGCTCCAAGGAAGGGAGAAGCCGAAGTGGAGAATGTGATATCCCGGACAGTGTCCTTGGAGAAATTTGAATGTGGGTCATGGGCTTCGTCGGCCATAGGCGATGGAGACACCATGAGTCACTACTTTGATCTTCCTATGGAATTGATTCGAAGCGAAACAAACGATGCGCATTCCCCGGTTTCTGCAGCCTTTCTTTTTGACAAAGATCTCAAAGGGGTTCTGAAAAATAATAGCAGCTCATCAAGAGCAGCACAAACTGCAGCCAGGAAATCGCACGACTCGTCGCGCCATGTTCGTTTCTCAACGGCTTCTCCCATGTCATACCCTGCTTCGCCCGCTTCTTGCATTACGCCTCGCCTGCGTAAGGCAAAGGAAGATTTCAATGCTTTCTTGGAAGCACAAAGTGCTTGATTTATCCTGCATTTTTTTTTTTTTGGTTGGGGGTACTTTGTTTTTAAGCATTTCAATGTATGTTGAGCAATAATGTGAATGAGAGCTATGTCCAACATTTTTCCTACTGATTGTTTTTTTTTTTTTTTCTTGGTACTACATGTTTTTTCCTTTGCAAATCACCGCATTGTAATTTATTCCGAGGATAAAAACGCCTCTCTTGAAGAACACTTTTTGGCGGGTAGAAACGTCGGGAATTTTTGTAGTTATAAATTTTTTAGGAAAACATGTTCTTCCCAACAAGCTTCTCTTGGGACAATGCTTTTGTTCGTACAAAGAGGAGTTGACCATTGGAACTCCAAATCCTTAATGGGAGAGGATGGAAAAAGGAGAAAAATGTATCCTGTAGTTTAACGTTGTTTAGTGCCGAGAGAGAGAGAGAGAGAGAGAGAGAGATCCTGTTAACATTTCTTCAATTCGGCACTCTTCTGTTCAGAAAATTTCATTGAGGTTTTTTTGTTGTTTTAAAAAATATCCAGTAGTCATTTTTAGAACATAAAATGATGGTTTTTATCCTTTTAGTTTAAAAATATAATTAAATAAGAAAAACATAAAAATCTAAAATAAATAAATAAAAAAAAGAAAAACCAAACGAGAAACACGAAACAAATTCAGAATGCGCTTTCAAAAAAATCAGAATGCAAAAAAAAAAGGAAAAATTTTGAAAAATATCACCAATAAAGTAATATTATTTTATTTTGTTATTGTTGTTAAGTTATTTTTATGCCACTAATAATCTACAAATTATTTTTCGTAACTTATAAGTTATCTTTTATAACCGCAGATTATCTTTCGTAACCTTATTCTACAGATTATTTTTGTATCGGCATTAAAATTTTATTCAGTGATATAAATAATAAATTTGAAACAACAATTTAAGAAAGAAATTTCCTGAAAAAGTTACTTTTAGGCCCAATAAAGACGTTTGGGTTTTTGGGCTTTGGTTCATTTAGCTACCAAGTTTGTCGGCCTGGTTTATTAATAGGTGGATGATCCGCCAAGAGGGAGACCGACAACAATGAAATTATACAAACTAGAAGAGCAAACTAAAGGGATAAAGACAGAAAAGAGAATTGTGTATGAAACAACAAGAGTCTTCAGTATGAAATCTTCATTTGTCAAATTTTAAAGGGAGTAATAAACATGCATGGTAAGCTCATAAGCAATTGTTTTTGCATTATGTTGCGTATATATATATATATATATATATATATATTTATAGGCATTGGTCATGATGGTCCAAATTCCATTTTCCTCATGAGATGTTTTCGCGGAGGCAATAATTCCGTAAACATATGATGAGATTTTGTATGAATGGCTTGACCAAAATTCATTGATGAAATTTATGTCCAACATATAATATTGTGTCTAACAACTCTACAAAGAGGGAAATAGCTATAAAATTCTAAGAAAAGGAAACTAGTACTTTTTTTTTTTTTTTTTTTTTTTTTTTTTTTTTTTTTTTTTAAGGAAACTAGTACTTAAAATACAAGAATATTGTTACTAATAATTACAACACCATAATTCATGACTCTGATTAGGGTTGACTACTTTTCTTATTACAAACAGCATGGGATTTCCACAATATTAGAGAACACCACGCTACCGGCTTCATATGTCTTATAATTGCTTCCAATTACATGATTTATAATAAGCGCATACAAAATGATGGTTCAATACCTTAAAGATGATTTTTTTTCAACAACACTATTACACTTGTTTCATGAACACCACTAAATCTAAATCATATAGTTACGACAAAATAGCTACTCGCAACGATAAGTATAATTAGCATAGACACAGCTCATTTCTATCTCATATAACGTTTTTCTAACAAAAATATCATATTAAATCAACCAAAATACTATATCAATTAAAATATCATTTCACATCATTTAAAACGGTGTAAGTTACAATATTATAATTGATGCATATGGAATATTTTTAGTGGAATACAAAATGGGACGGAAGAAACAGCGGTGTGAGTTAAATCCATAAACATATGACTGAATTTGGGTTTATTTTTATTTTTATTTTTGTGTGGTAAATATAGTTAACACGAATTGAATGCGAACAACGAGTCCAAAAAATGCGTACCAGCAAAGCTACCAGGGTCCTACCAACATCAACCACCCCAATTTTATAAGGAATGGCCAATATTCTTCATGCCCTTCATGTGATGTGATTGTGATATTGTGATTATATAAGAGTCTTCCCACCACCATTTCTATTCATATTCATCACTACTTTATTACTAAATTATTGCTGACGGACTATAGTCAAAATCTGTCAAAATGTCGTCTATAAAGGAATTTAAAAAATAATTAAAGATGGGTTAATGAGTGTCACGAAAATTTTATTTTTCATTACAGCTCAATAATGGACGCCTTAATCCGCGGTTTTTAATGGTACTCATTTGTCGGTGCGTAGCTTATGCCATACGTACGCGATACGAAATATATTACTAAACAAAAAGTGCCCCACCAAAGGGAGCCAAAAAATAAAGAAAAAGGCTCCTTGTGGGGAAAAAATGAAAGGAAATCAAATGTGAACATTGCTAGCTGCCATGCATGCTCATTGAGCTGGGTTTTACATAGGTAGGCAGAGGCTAAGAAAATGGTAACATTTAGTAATATGAGAATTTTTTTACAAGGTATATAAAAATATTCCATATTAGTACTATACCATTTTGAACGGTTAAGTGACATTAAAATCATATTAGAATTAAAAAAAAAAAATTTAATTTAGAGAATTTCTCTAGTGTTCTTTCTTTTTAAGAACACTAAAGAACACCGGTGTTCCTTATTTATCAACCGCCATATCAATATGACGGGTGATAAATAAAAAAGTGTTCTTTAAAAAAAATACCAGATAAAGTTTCTAATTTTATTATTAAAATCATGGATTTAAAACTATGCATCAATGTTTAGATTTTTGTTTTTAAGTTATTATAAATTTTTCTGTAATAATTTCATCGTGAATTGAGATCCAATCAACTATATACTCATAATAAAAAAACAAAAAAAAACAAAAAAAAACAAAAAAAAAAAAAACTCAACTAAAAGCGTTTGATTTAGGAGGAAGCTACGGAGTCCAGCTGGCATGCAATACTGAGTCCAACGATCATCCTCATTCTTATTTATTTTCTCTTCTTTTTTTTTTTTTTTGAGAAATTATTTCTCTTTTTCTGTCTTTGAATGTTCTACATGAGAACGTAGCAAAGTCTTACTCTGAAATATTAACAAACATTTTTATTAATCTATTATTAAAACCATAAACGTTAGCTAGCTTTTAAGGTAGTCTGGTCTTCATTTCATATTCATAATCAAGAACTGCAATACGTTTTATTAACATCATATAAAATCGATTTTAATCTCGAAAGTAGTAAAAATTAAAATACGAGTAACATGCACGTTGATAATATATATGAACATTTCATGAATATATATAAACATATATATTTCTTTTTTATCTAGCTATAATTCGCTTTACGATCTTATATAAACAAAATTGTGGATACAAATTTAATCATGATTAGTAATTCTGGGGTGGTGCTTGAGAGGTAGCAATTTTATAAATAGTTGGTAAGACATTGGATTGTGATCTCTCAAGATGTACCATTTATACATGCATGGTTGTCATTTAGATTTAGATATTAATAATAATAGGTCAATGGTGGGGTTAGAATACGGCTGAATGATCAAGCGGCTTGAGAACCTTATTTAGTGATATGTGCTTATTTAGTGATTTTGCTTGTGCACGTTGTCCATTGGAATTGTACCCTTTGTGGGAGTCCTCATATAGTGATATGTATCTATAAGTATCATACAAATATATATATATATATATATACGTATCTATATATATATTCTGTATCGTGCTAATATTTCTTTGTTAGATGAGGAATCTTATAAATGGTTTACATGACTCAAAGGAGACACGTTTAGTTGGAGAATTCAAACTATTTTCGATTTACGTGAATTTTTTGTGAGAGAAAATAATGTAGCGAACCACGAATCATGATTCGAATCAGGGAACGAATCCCTCTACCAAACAAATTATAAGTTCATGGATTAGAATCATGTGATTAGAACCATTTTTGATTTACGTGTATTTTTTATGAGAGAAAACACTATAGCGAATTATGAACCATGATTCAAATTATAGTTTGAATCATCCAACCAAACGTCCCAAAAGTCTAAAGAATCTCATGACATAGTAGCTACCTCCACACGTTCCTTCACATGTACTCCTTTTATTTTCCCACCCTTAGAAAACAAAAGTGTTCACCATATTTTTTCTTTGTGTAATTTCATGAAGACGCAATTTTTATACTAATAAACTATATGCTTATGTAAAGTACGCCTTAGAAACTAAGAAAAATCTTATTTATTACAATCAGTGATGCAAATGTGTTAGTAGTGGCGCGCATGACAGAGCCATATAGAACTTAACTTTTTATTATTTAGTCAATTATTATACATGAAATTCCCCAAAAATCAAAGTTGTGCACCATTTAAGGGAAAATATAAATAATTTCGTCCCCGTCTAATAATAAAAGCTTCAGTTCATTAAAGAAACTATTTTATTTTTCATATTGGTCCGTCACTATATATGTGAGTACAACTAAACTGTTACATATTGTAAATCAAAAATAAAAAAATAAATTAAAAGAACAAAGATTTTAACGTAGTTTTGGCAATTTAATTACGTTCAATGATCAAGAATATGATCACTCTTTCATTCACTGATATTTACAAATAATTGTACGTGGGTATATATAGGGACCGGATGAATTCTAAGAATATAACTTGTAAATCAATCAATCAGGATAAATTAGACTACCAATTAGGCAACCAATCAATCTCCTATGATTCACTCAAAAATATGTTCACACTTATAGTACAACCAATCACTCCAAAAATGGAAAGAACATTACCTTATATAGTAATGCATGATCCAATAATTTTACTTTTATTAATGTGATATATCCACTCATGCGTGTAGTAGTGATGCGTGAACGATGATGATAAATAGGATGCTATACCAACTAGTAATTTTGATGGTAGAACTATTTATGCAAACTAGTATTAGTAGGTATCCCATTACCATAAAATCTGGCAGCTAAGTCTTAATGGATCGAGCTGGCATTCTTCATGGCCAACCTCAAACGTTCATACTTCATAGTTATTATGCACACCAGCCCTTTGTTTTTGTTTTTTTTTTTTTGAAAAGAGGCAACGCAATTATTGGACCACCAACTAGAGGCTAGAGAGTCTACCCAACACAATTATTGTAGTGTGGATATAGGTAACTTTTATAAGTGGCCACATTCTGGTAACAAACAACCTTTGTTCTATATTAGGCAGAAGTTCCATGGCATGGGAATACTCTCATTTCACTTACTAGTCACTCTCAAAAAGTCTCCTTTCTTTATCTTGTTGACGTAAACATCAAACTTGAAACCTTTTCTTTTTTTTTTTTTTTTTCCTCTTAAAAATAGTTACTAAGGGGCATTAAAAAATTCTTCTTTTGATATCTTCATAATTTTTTATCTCTCATGACTTCTCTCTTTCATTGTGGTCCTTCTAAAGGATCCCAATTCCCATGCTTTTGTTCAGAGTTACAGATGCTAACAGTCTCCATAATAGTTTTGTTTTGAGCCAACAAGTGGCATAGCCACTTAAAGATGAGCGGAAGCAGTTGTTCTCATTCAAATTTAAAAAAAAATATATTACTTTTAAAAATTTAAAAATTTTATATTTAAGTTCTTATTAAAATAATATATGACACTATTAAAATAAATATATTTTCTTACAAACTCTTATTAAGATAATTTATTAAAAAAAATTTAATATACGCATCTATTAAAGTGAAAGATTGACTTCATCATTACCGACAAGCAAGCGGATGCTCTTATTAAAATGGAGATGAATTACGAAGGGCAGCTCCATTTTTATAACTTTTAGATAGAGGGCCCACTTTGTAGTTGCAGTAATAAACAGCCTTGAAAACTAAGTTAGTATCATTAATTACTTTTGCCAACTAATGTTACAAGTAACAATAATTAGGCATAGTGATTTTTTGTTTATGAGCTGCATATACATTATTAGCCAACTTCATATAGTAATCATGGTAGTTTTTGTTTAAATTCAAGCCTCAAGTAAAAATGCTAGAGAAAAAATAAAATAAAAGAAAAGAAAAGGCTTGAGAAGACGACCGTTAGAAAGAATAGTGTGGGGAAAAAAAAGTATTAGAAACCAAATTTATCCTTACGAATTTGTTGGTTGTATAATATGTGAGAGAGAATTTGTTGGTTGTACAATTTTAAGGGCATGTTATTGTTAGATATCTCTTATATATTAACGGTTAAAGGACTATTAATGTAATTAACTTCGGTCGAGTAAGTGATACTATAATGTCAAAAAAAAATATATATATATTTTCAGTTTAATTTCGTAAGTTCTCTCTTTTTTTCAATGAATATATCATGTTAGGTACCTATTTTCTTTTAAAAGTTACGCTATTAGGAAATGTAAATAAATGGATAAAGACCCTATTAGGAGAAAAGGTGCATGAAATGAATAAAGGGAAAATTGGACTGAAGAAGCCTCGGGAACTCAGGCCAAAATGTAAGATACCAAATTAATGTATCTGCCATGATTATTCGTGTCATAATTTGAATTATGTTTCGTAACTCACTATAGTATTTTCTCTCATAAAAAATACACATAAAATAAAAATAATTTTAAATCATAATTCTAAATCTATAAACGAAACATTTTTGTTCTTTTCTCCCATCTTTTGCTTCTCTCTTTTTTTCTTTTCCCTGCGTTGGTTAAGAATGAAAGATGACAAAGATGCCCTCAAATAGCATCCACACCACATGGCCACTTTTTGACTTCATAGGGTAGATATAAAAAAGCAAACACTTTCTCATCAACAAATACCAGAAGTCCAGAACCAACATAATAGCTCATTATTATCAAACACAAAACAAAACTCCACCGATATCCTTTCTCATCAACAAAGCATAAATCATATAAATTTCATAACATAAAGTAAGAAAGCAGATCCGAGCAGCCAAGTGAGAGAGCACTTTCTTAATCAAAGTTCAAGCCACCTAGTAGGGTGGTGCAATGGGGTCCCTTTAGGCCAATCAATCTAATTTATGGATGGTCCCTTTTTATTATATTCTAAGAAATAAAGAATCAGAATACTAGGCCCCAACGTTGAAAACTAAACAAAAGAATGGAAAAGCTCTCGCGTGATATAATGTACCTACCACCTGTATCTATACTCAGCGGAAAAAAAGGAAAAAAAAGAAAAAGAAAAAAAAGGGCTATATTACAAGTAAGAACCTTCCCTATATCTCCCAACCCCAAAAGAATTATCTTCTACATGGCTTTAATCTAATCATAGAAAAAGAAAAAATAAATAAATAAAATAAAAGAACATGGGTATCATTATTGACGAGTCTTTTGTAATCTAGATCCAATCATTTTCAGCTCAAACTTCTTGACAAAGCCCGCAATGTTCCTCATGGTGGTGTCCAAGACATACGGGTTGTTTTCGAAGGTGGTTTCCGTCCAGTTGCCGAGGTTCCGGCAGGGCTCACGTCGTTGCGCGATGGTGCCATGGTAGTGGAAGTACATGATGCGGCCCTCCGTCTTGTGGGTGGTCTTGCCGGCCAGGTTCTGCGACATGTGAACGCCTGCCGCATACACGCTGCGCGGCTGCACCACATACTTGCGGTCCCTCCTTATACCTCTCTTTACGTCTCTATATACAAGCTTCTCAAACCCCCATTTCCTGCAATAGATTTTATTCACATCAGCCAATTAGTCAACGAAAACCCCACCATTCTGTTACTTTAATCTAAAACAAAGAATGTAGGTTCTCATCAATAGGCAAGAAAATTACTCTTAATTCACATTATAATCCATCATAATTCATTAACAGGCAATAAATTATAGCGCACGAAACCAAGTAGTGTATTTGGCTTCTTTTTTTGTTTGGTATAAAATGTGAGATTAGACTAAAAGCCAACATCACTATCAGTAAAATTTGGCAATTTTTCATGAGGGCAACATAAATAACAAAAATTTCATTTCACTTGTTGACAAAGAAAAATTCTTGCTAGCTACTAGTCATGTTTCCCATTGCTCTTCTTGGCAAAATTGGTCATCATCAACAAAACTTTCCAAATCATTCTCATTTGCAATCAAGTAATCACTAAGGTTAAAATGATATCAGCTTCAACTTGATGTCTAAACTAACATCATTTTTACCATGTGACCTTTCACGAATAGAAACACCAATCATTGAATATGGTTTTAATCTTTCAGTAATCTAAAGACACATTTCAAAAGAAAAGACATATTTCTTAGAAATATGCCATTAAGAAAGTATAACACTAGTCAAATTCTTTATCAATAATGCTCACCGTGCTACCATCACCAAAACATAACTTGACATAAATTTATATCATTCCAACACTTGAAGAAGATTATTGAAAAAGATTTAACGAGGTCATAATCATGAACAAGGGCCAAAAACCAAATCATTAGAGAAGAAAAAAGTTAAAACAAACCCCACTTCCACCTGTACCCCTTTGACAACGAAGGAAATAAACAATCTAAAGCCTAATGACGAGGCAGATGCATGTGCTAATAGCTCCAAACAAGTACTCACCACTTGATCTAAATATGTCTCCAACATCAATATTCAAATTACCAAAATGTTTCACATTTTAATCTTCCAACCACAGAATGAATAAGATTGCGACATATTAACATGACATGTGTTACATACCCAACTGGTTTAAAAGGATCCCAACATCCAGCAGCATACAACTGGCAGTAAAATTGTATCAAACCGAACAAAATTCTCACGCAATCTATACATGTATTGTTCATTTTAAGAATACAAATTTATGTAACAATTATAATATAAATTACCAAACATAAAACTTTAATAAATTCAACTATATATTCTCTTAAATCTCTTTCACACCAAGTTCTGTAAAAACTAAATTCTCCTTCCTAGGTCCTACCCAAGAAATATATTCAAATTTCAACCTAAAAACAAAAATTATCATACATAAATTTTGACTCTTGTCTTTACCGTGCCTTAACAATTAAATTAAAAATACAAATAATAATAATAATAATAATTAGGCTCTGAAAATACCTGTAAGTTTTTCCGGCATCGTCAGAAAGGCAGAGCTTACAGCTCATGGGCATTTGTTCAATGGTGAACTGAGAATACTCGGAGAGAGAATCAAGCACAGACTTAATGGTATTCTTTCGTGGCACATAAATAAACTCATCAACATCAAAGAAGAACATCCATTTTGCCATGAACTTGTACCTATGCAAGCAATCATTCACAACCATGAACTGATTATGGTAATACCCATCAAATCTCTCTTGTTCCCTTATATCCTGAAGCGTCACGTACCCCAACTCAATCCACGGCTTCAGCACCTCCATCACCTCCTCGTGGACCCCACCGGCGTCGTGGATGACGAAGTGGGATTCCGGCCCGAAAAGCCGGACATGGTAAGCGAACCACTCCCTCACTCTCTGCGGGCTTAAATTCCCGTACAGAGAAGATCCACAATACAGGTATTTGTACTTGGGCTTCGAGGTGAAGAGCGTGAAGTCCACGCTCCCCGGCTTCTCCACGAGCGCGTCGATGGTGTCGGTGACGTTGAGGTTGCGGTCCCCACCGCCGGAGGTGGAGGCGCGCAGGACAAGTTTTCCGCCGGAATTTTCGCCGTTGATTAGAGGATGGTCGGGGAATGTGCAGTTGACGACAACGACAGTATAGACCCGGCCGTAGCCCCAATCGGGGAGAATCTTGTATCCGTCGGCGGAGATTGGTTCCTGACTGTGGTTAGATGGGACCCACATGCATTCATATGTCGGCCTACCGTAAACATGGAGTGGCTTGGAAGCTAATCCCACAATGGCGAAGGTGTTGGGTCCGCCTCTGTAAGCTCCCATGATTATGAAGCTGTACGCTGCGGCGCCGTACGGGTTGAAGGCCCGCTTTACGACGCCGTTTGGGAGCACCGTTTCTTCTTGTAGTTCATTTTCAGGATCTTTCAAAACTGGTTGTGGTGAGGGAGTTGGTGATGAGGAAGAGGAGGAGGTGAAGATGGAGGAGTTGGAAACGACGTCGTTTTGCTGGACGACGTCGTTTTGCTGGGCGATGGCTTTGGAGATGCAGAAGCGGAGATCGGAGGTGGAAATGGCGAGGAAGCGAGAAGGGAGGAACTGAAGGAGAGTGGCTAAAGAGCAGAGGACGAGAAGTGCTGTTAGAAGAAGCTTAAGTTCTGCTGCGTAGCTTTTCCATACTACTTTCACTAACAGCTTATTCTCTCCTCCTCCTCCAGATCCTCTCTCCTTCGCCATTGTTTCTGTTTCTAGAGAGAGAAAGTTGCAGAAAAGGGGGGGGTGGTGGTATAGTATTGTCTAGAAAGAAAGAAGATCTCTCTCTCTCTCTCTCTCTCTCTCTCTCTCTCTCTCTCTCTCGCTCTCTCTCTCTGCTTCTTTTTATGTCGTTTTTACGGGGTCCTCCTCCTCTCTTCCCTGTCCTTCTGTTTTGTTTTGTTTTGGTTTTTTTTTTTTTTTTTTTTTAGTTGGCAAAAGTGTGGATTCGGTCCTCGGAATAGGAAATTGTATTTTGGTTGTCAATTAATCACATGTGGCTGTATTATTAGTGCTTGGTTTGGTACTAGAAAAATGAAAAAGGAAAAGAAGAAAAGAGGAAAGAGGAGGTGCTTTTTAAAACACTAAAATTAAGTACTACGCGTGAAAATAAAAAAAGAACACATAAATGTGGGTAAATAATTTAAAAAACTGATGTTCTAGAAAAATTATCACTGTTTTTAGAGTATTTTGTGTAAATTTCCCAAATTCAAAAGAGTTGAAGAAGTATAAATATAGGAAAAGTAAGTTGTTGGAAATGTTAGTTGCCGATTTTTCATATGTGAGCGTATGATTATTCTCTGTTTCGGTAGTAGAAGGAAGGTAGTGAATTTGGACTGCAATTGTGGTTTTAGGAAACTCTGGATGGTCAAAACCCAAGAAGGCCAAAGGGAATACGAAAAATGATTGCGACGTATGTTTCTGTTTTTCAGGAGGAGGACAAGAAGCATTACGAAATTATTATGGCAAGAGACAATAGAGCATAATTTCTCAGAAAATTGTATCTATTTAATGCATATGTTCTAAACAAAAATAAGCATAAAATATGCATGATAATAAATAACCGGTGGTCTCACACTAAAGAATGTCCAAACGCTCACTCGCACGTTCAAAAATTCTTTAAAATAGTATATTTTTGAAACTTAACATATTTATTGATGAAAAATTTATTTTCTGATAAACACTTGGCCTAAATAATTTATTTAATTATTTATCACTAAACATGCTATTTACTTTAATCATTTTAAAATGAAGTATTTACTTCAAAAATGTAGTTGCTTTTTTCCCCTTTTAGAGTTAATTTGTATAGTATTAATAAGAAAAGAACTCGTGAAAGACATTAGTTTTTTAAAGTAGTTTTGATATTGTAAATTCCTTTTTGTTTAAAAGTATAACAAAAATAATCAAAGAAAAAAATAAAGAGATAATTTCATAAATAGTCTTTGAGATTTACACACAATTTAATTTTGATCTTTAATTTTTAAACATGCCACAGATGGTTTTATAAATGTGAAATAAAATAAAAGTTTAGGGATTAATTATGGAGTATTTATAAAGTCAAGAGACCAAAATAGATTGAAAATAAACTTTAGAAATGAACCCAAATTGTAATGATTTTGTGACGATGCTAGTCTACTTTTTAAATCTGATGATGGCTTTCTCTTTTCTTCCTTTTTTTTTTACCATTAATTTATTGATTGTCTCTTCGCCAAGAAAAGAAGTCCTTTCACAATTCTCAAAGAAAACAATTTGATGAAACTCAAAGAAAAGGATTTGGAGAGAGTCCATTGGTTTCTTTTTTTTTTTTTTTTTTTTTTTTTTGGGAAAAAACATTGGGTTTCTGACCGTCTAACGAACGTTACCTGAAGACTCAAGTAGGTGTCTTATCTTATATTGTACGTGTAATATCATTGCACTTATAATTTATCACTATTATTTTCACTTCCTCTTTTCTTTTCTTTTTGTTTTTTCTTTGCCTTTCCCCAAATTTTTGTTTTTTTAATGAATCATTCTACTTTCTTAATCCTTGGGACCCTACTAAATTGTACACATTTCATATAATATGATGTGAAAGAACATATGTTATATTATATGTTATTTAAAATTTATTTTAAACTTAAAAGTTTATCTTTATAAGTTTTAAAACTTACTAATTATGACAAAAAAATAAATAAATATGACATTTGGATAGTACTATATATTGAAATCTAAAATAAAACAACACACTAAACAAGTTTTGTTCACATTTTTTAACATCAAATATAACGTTAACATTGTCATTTGCATTGTAGGTGATGTTGATTAAGTTTCATAAACCAAACATAGAACAAAACTTATAGTATAATTATTTAAACTAAATGTTAGTCCTAATGAATATGACATATCAAATAACTAGCAAACCCAAGTTCAAACATAGAAAAAAGGAAATAAATAGCAAGGATATACAATGTCAGTTTTATCTAAGCATAATTTGTAGTTTATTAGGTAAGAAAACGTTTTCTAATATTTACCAAAAGAAAACTTTGTTAGCAAAACAAGATAATGAAATGTCCAGAAAAAAATAAAATCTAAAAAGAGTCTTTTTTTTAAATCAACTAAAAAAAGTGTTACAGTGTTTTCTCTCACAAAAAATACACGTAAATCAAAAATCATTTAATTTTATGATTTTAATTCATGAACTAAACGTCTCTATCACACGTATAAATATTGAGATACACATGGGGAAACTG